CCGCGCTTTTTCATAAGTGTACCGTGAATGTAGTAGTCGGACACTCAAGGCATGCGATATCATGCCACTGTGGGCGAGTTGAAAAGTCGTAGAGCCGGATGTCAATATTCAGAAAGTTAAAAGCTACCGGCCGGCCGGCTGAGCGCAAATTTAAGAGCTACCGGCGTCAATAGCGCTACAGAAAATTACATGAGGGTTCTATAGCGCGCTCCATCGTCGCGTAGCGTTCTCCAGCGGAGCCAGATTTGGCCTTCCGCTAGCCCATCCGAGATCGATTCTGGACGGTCTTCGTCTCGTAGCGCACGTAGCGCAAGCTTTGGACATCGACCAGCTCACCGCCGAGCTACCGCAGAGGCCTTCCTACCGATTTCTTTAATCCACGCTACAATCTGCTTCCGGGCGCGCTACATTGAACGCTACCTAAATCTCCCATGTAGAATTCCTAGTTGGTTGCAAAAAGTACTTCTATATCCCGACGCCCACTTGAAACTCCGAGGGAACAGACCGAAAAATGGATGAACCTGTTGCGGCCTCATTGGCATCGTCGGACAATGCAATTGAAGGAGTCGGCAAAAGGTTTGAAGCTCCTGCCAAAAGAAGACTGACCGCGACGGGAATCGAACCCGCGACCTTTGGATCCGAAGTCCAATGTGCTAATCCACTACACCACGAGGCCATGGTCTAGCATTAGCCTTTCGCCAGAGTAAATTGTATATCATAATTAGCGCCAGCGACCAACCACTATAACATCATCCTACGTGGTCGCCGAGGGCTTCGCCCTCGGCACACCTAACCCGCCCATATTTCTCACTTAGAAGCGGCCGGGGACGGCGGTCCCCGGGCCGCCGAGCCCTCTCTCCTCAGAAATGAATTGAACAGGTCTGTCATTTTGAGACTGAAGTCAATCCTAGCTGCAACTTTCAAGTTCCAATGCCATTGCCAAGCGATGTCACTGTCAGGGCCACCTGGAGGCGGCCTGCTCTCTCGTCACAAGCCAATGGTGGGTAAGAACGGCACACTGGGGACTGCGGCTTCGTAGCTAGCCAAGATATTATAGGTGCCATTTCTAAGTGAGTTGGAGCAATTCTAGGTGCAGCGGAAGGGAAGGCAGCTCGCTGCCACCGTGCAGTGCATTGGGAAGCATGGTGGCTGCCGCTGCAGCATTGCGGAGCAGCGTGCACCCCTGGCTGACCGCCCCCTCCGCGCCTGCTAGCGGCTGCAGCTCTGGCAGGCCAGCATTAGGCCGAGCATCAAAGTCTGCATGTTCCAGCTGGATAAAGGATGGGGCGGCCAGGTGGCGGTCACAGGCGCTGGGCACGGCGATGGGGCGCCACCGCAGTCGGAGCATGGTGCGCGTCAGCATGGTGGCCACGCCATGGCCAGGCCTGGGCAGGAGGTGCGCACGAGCTCGGTGGCATTTGGCCTCATGGCAGAGCTTTGCCAGTCTGGACACGGCTGGAAAATCACCTTATGGCCTCCTGTGAAAACTGACGGTTCTATCCTATTAAATGTTATCAAGGTTGGATTCAGATATGTGTTCGGCAAGTGTGATCTGTATTGGCAAGAGTATTGGGGAGCTCAAATGACTGAATTTGTTGCAGTGGTGGTCGAGCAAAGCAGGTTTGACATTGCTATGATGGTGGTGGTGCCATCGCCATCTCATGGACGTTGTATGGGAGCCAGCAAAGGGGCTCACCATATCGAGGCAGGGCTGACCTGTCAATATAGGTGACTCAATGTCAAAAGCACACGGGGCGCCCTTCCTCAGCCTGCAGCCCCATCCCCCTAGAACTCTTCCCTTCATGTAACAAGTGGTGGCAAACAGCTCTAACTGCGGTGGTGCCCCTCCCTTGTTCAGGCGCCATAATGAGGACTGGCTGTTTGACCCGCTGGGGCTAGGCCCAGCAGGGCGGCCGGCCTTTGAAAGAGATGTTGCGGGCCACTCAGAGGAGGACGGCCTGCTGGCCCCCCTCCTGCGGCTGGTGGGGGGCAGGGGCCCCAACCGGCCCGCTCCGGAGGGCGCCAGTCCACGCACAGGGGCGCCCCGAGGGGGAAAGGGACCTGAGGACACCAGTATTGGCTTTGAGGACTTTTTCAAAGGTTGGGGACATCGTTGGAACTCAACGCTGAGCGTGCTCTGAGAACCACCTAATGCCCTCAACGGCAAGTCCTTTGACTGCTGTATGTTTCCCCTCTTTCTTGTGAGCATCTCGTCCACCAAGCGAGGATCTGCACAGGTGTCACAGTGGTGGCTGCTGGCGTGCAGGCAAGCTGCCTGGCAAGCTGCTGGAGCTGCTGCTGCTGCTGGCGCTCTCGCGTGTGGGCGTCTACCTGCCGCTGCCGGGGGTCGACGTGGCCGCCTTCGCCGGCAGCATCGACCAGGTCAGGGCCGCAATGCAGCCTGCCTCGAGGCTTGTTTACATGCATGGGATCAGCTGACCAGATAGGGTAGAGGCTGTGCAATAAAGGCAGACTTTCTGGAGTCCCGTCATTGCTCAACCCTTTCGCCCAATGTTTTGGATCTCAAGACTTCTTGTTGCACCCAGTCTTCGCCCTTGTGATGGGAAGCCTCACCGACGGCGGTGCATTTGGTTTGCAGGAGGGCGTCCTGGGGCTGATCAACACGCTGTCCGGCGGTGGCATTGCGCGCGTGGGCGTGTTCTCGCTGGGCATCGTGCCGTACATCAACGCGCAGATCATCATCCAGCTGGCCACCACCGTGTTTCCCAAGCTGGGCGACCTGCAGAAGAAGGAGGGCGAGGCCGGCCGCAAGAAGATCCAAAACTACACGCGCTACGCCGCGCTCGGCCTGGCCCTCGCGCAGGTACCTACCCGCCACCGGCCGTGCTCTGCGAAGGCCTGTTGACGATGCGCTAGAGACATGTTTGCGGACTTCCGAAGGTGTTATACATGTATGATTGGAGTCGTTGGCCTCCTTCGGGGCCGACAGTCCTCTTCAGAACAGAGTAAGAATATCAAGCTCATCCGACCATCCTGGCCCCCTGTCTGGTTGCAGGCGGTGTCGCAGGTGCTGTTCCTGAAGCCGTACGCGTACCAGTTCGACTCGGGCTTCTTTGGCGCGAGCGTGCTGGTGCTGACGGCTGGCGCGATGATCGAGGTGTTCATCGCGGACTGCCTGGGCGAGCTCAAGCTGGGCAGCGGCACGAGCCTGCTCATCTTCACCAACATCGTCTCGTACCTACCCGCCTCCATCGGCCGCACCGCCGCCGATGCCGCCAAGACCGCCAACTGGGGCGGCCTGGCCGCCATCCTGGCCACCTTCGTGCTGCTCATCGGGGGGATCATCTACGTGCAGGTCAGACAGGCACGAACGCACGCATTCCAGACGGATGCGCAGGTTCAAAGCGCGAGCTGCTCGTAAGGGAGTTGCTGTGTGTGGTGACACGAAAGCTCGAATAGCTCTTTCCGCAAAAAGTGGTTTCTCGCCCGCAAGTCGACTGTTGTTGGCTTTGTCTTTGGTTCTCCTCTGCATGCTCGGCTGCAGCGCTCCTCTAAACTGCGTTCCTGTTCTGACTTTTGGTGTCGCCCCCTCAGGAGGCGGAGCGGCGCATCCCCATCAACTACGCGTCGCAGTACCGCGCCGGTCGTCTCTCCACCAAGAGCTACCTGCCCTTCAAGGTAACCACTGCGTCCCTACGACCGGGCACTCTCCTCCCGCTCTCGTCCCTCCTCGAAGCCACTTCCTTGCACGCCGTCCCTTACTTCCCCTTCCCCGCAGGTGTCAATCGATGCATGCGGTGTCCCGTTTGTGCGCAGGTGAACGCGACGGGCGTGATGCCGGTCATCTTCGCGTCGTCGCTGCTGGTGGCCCCCTCCTCGCTCGCGCGCTTCACTGATGCCGAGTTCCTCAAGACCCTCGCCGTCGCCCTCTACCCAGGAGGTGCGCCGCGCTGCCCCACAGCCTCTCGTCCGTGTTGCGCATCATCTCGTTCGATTTGGGAGCCCAAGAAGACTGCACATTTGAAAGGGGGTTTTTTGTTCGATGACTTCTGCTCGCAGTCGACACTCAGCACCATGCAGGCACTTCTTTCGAAGTCGCCCTCGCAGGTTGAGTACCGTATGAGAAGCTACTGCCGCCTTTCAGCGGCATAAGGGCCCCCTCTCGTGGCTGCGTTTGCTCTTCCTGCTTGTCCCGCAAGCTGGGCCTCAGCCCCCCCTACTGCCGTCGCTGAGTGGCACACGTGCGGCGTCGTGCAGGCCCGCTGTACTTGCCGACCAACGTGGCGCTGATCGGCTTCTTCAACTACTTTTACACGTTCGTGCAAATGGACCCCACCGAGGTGGGCGACAACCTGAAGAAGGCCGGCGCCAGCATCCCCAACACGCGGCCCGGCAAGGCCACCGCCGCCTTCATCGAAACCGTGAGCGCAGCCGGCACTCGCTCGGGGTAAAGACTGGCGGTGTGTGCAGCCAGCCTGAGTGCAGGGGCAAGTGCCGCCGTCTTCCGCCGCAACAGGTGCACAGGTTTTTATGTAGGTGCTCCAGCCGTATAAGCGACGCCGTATCACTAACGATGTCGCTGGAGCGGTTCCCTTGGGAAGGTGGGACCTACGATGCGTTGAGCATGGGCCTGATTTTGGCTTGTGCCTGACTTGCTAGCTTCTTCTGGTTGAGCGTGGCGGGCCTGACGTGGTCGTATGTGGTGGGCCGCAGGTGTTGACGCGCATGTCCATATTGGGGTCCGTGTTTCTGGGCGTGCTCGCCGTGGCCCCTGAGGTGGCGGAGAATACGACGCACCTGACGGCGTTCCGCGGCTTTGCGGGCACGAGCGTGCTCATCCTGGTGGGCGTCGCCACCGACAGCGCGCGCAAGATCCAAGCCGAGCTCGTCTCGCAAAAGTACCTCACCTCCGAGCCGGACACGTAGCGCCAGCCCAGCGGACGCCCGGGCTTGGGGCCGCGAGTGCCGTCAAGCTTGGGCTAATAGTCTGCTTGTTTCCTGGGGGCGATTGGGCGTTCCAACGGGGACTTTGCCAACTCTGCAGTTTGACTTGAAGCAATGTGGCAATGGTGATGTGCGGATTGCACGAGTGGCTATAGACCGACGAGTGGCTCGTCGACATGGTGCTTTCGCAGCTTACAGAGCCACTCGAACTTGATCGATCCAAGCGGCTTGTGCAACACTGTTGTGGTCTGAACAGATCCACTACACGGTCGTGTATAGCTTTTCGATAGTTGCATACTATGATGCAGAGGCAGTCGGCTGAGGTTGTCCATGTGATGTCATGTCGCTCATGGGGGCCTCTCGATGGCTCAGATTTCCTGCTGATTGTCTTTGTAAGCCCGTGCATGAGTCGAGTTCTGTACGTTTCGATGAATTGCCTTTGAAGGCTCGTGACTGCCTGCGGGATGTGACATCAATCTCTTGGACAGTCGGCATTGTTCCCAACGACGTTGTAAGACAGGCATGCGCGCTCGACGTCGGATGTACGATTCCGACAATAGACTCGTGGGCAACCGGAAGTTCATGCACTGAATATGCCCAATTGCGCTTTCAAGCGATCGGCTTCGCCCGCGATTCCGACCATGCATGGAAGCACGTCCAATGATGCCATTTAAATGATCCGGGAGCACCCGGCATCCGACCTCATGCGGCGGCCGTTGCGCAAGCACATGGGAACTGTACCGTCTGTACGAGCATGAATGTCAATCATTGAGCTGTGCAGGAGCTGCTCATGATCATGTGCATCCTGGATCGAGAATATCTCATCACTGCGCAGTGCGAAGCTTGAAGAGGCACGTACGCAATTCCCCGTGTGGCTCATACATCAACGATAAGCCTGTGACTGCAGCACGGTTGAACATATAAATACATGCTGAATTGACGAGGCAGCATCGAACTATTCACTCGTCCACCAGTAAGTCAAAGTCACTGCCTTATGACAAAAACAAAATGGCGCTATATTTTAGGTTCTACAGCTTTTCAATGCGCCACAGGAAGCTCAAATATACGCTGGCGCTCTGTGCTTTGAAAAGTGTCACTTTCTGCAGTTCAGAGACATTGCCCGTTGTCGTAGGACCACATTGAACCCTGATCTCCACATACATTCGGAAGAACTCAACTCTTGTGCGGGCCCGTTGTTATGACGAGAAGGGCCTTTCTATATTACCTTCAAGGAGCCAGGCTTGACTGGGGCGAGGCGGGCACCTCTTTGGCGTCAACGCGAGCGGTGGAGGGTGACAGCGGCAGCTGGTGCGGGGGGGGGCCGAGCCGCCGTCACGAGCTGCCCAGTAATTGTCAATCTTGGTGCCGCCGGGGGAGGACCGCGGTGGGCTCGGCCTGGGAGTAGCGCAGGAAGAAGACCATGATAGCCGCCAGCAGCGCCAGCCCGCCGCACGTCACCCCCACCGACAGCGCCGTCACGTGGCCCGACGCCACCGCCAGCACCAGCGCCCGCAGCGCCAGGCCCCACACCAGCAACGACCAGGCGCACGTGATCTGGACCAAGCATGCAGATACGAGGCAGTTAATGGCACCGTGCGGACATGTCGGAAGCCGAGGGCTGTGCCAAGTTTGACCACAGTCTGCAGCTGAGAAGTGGTGCGCGACCTTCCCGCGGGGCTCAGGCGACAGAGTGGTGTGTCTGTGTGAGCGCGCTCACCAGCAGCGAGTTGCGCGGCCGCGGCTGCGGCTTGTACAGCTCCTCCGGGAAGGTGCCGACCCGCTCGTGCTCCGCCAGCATCTTGTCCTGCACCAAGAGACGGCCGCCCACTGGTCACGCCGCAGGCTTCGCACCAGCCCTGCGCTTCTTTCAGTGCATCTATCCATCTCCTGAGAGGAGGTCATGGCGAGAAGACAGAAATACAAAGTCGGCAACCCGGCCAGTGTCCTGCTGTCTGGGCTCGGGCAGCTGATGTGAGCACATGACCATCGGCCGCCATTTCTTGCGGTTTGGTAGCGGCCCTGAAGGGGAGGGGCTGTGGAGGTACCTTGGCTATGAAGACGTCGCGGCACCATTCGGCGACCCCCTCGTCGTCTTCCGGCAGGGCGCCAATGTCGTACCGCTGCAGGCGCACGTGGATCTGCACCCCACACGACACCCGCCACATGGTCAGCGCACTGCCTGATCGCCGCCCCTCTCAGTTGCTAGCAGGCTGCTCAGCATAAGGCTTCTCCGGACTCAAACATAACGTCTCGCTCAGGCAAACGTTCCAGATACGCAGGCAGAGCAGACCACGCTGGCGACAAAGCCAACGAGGCGGGGTGGGAGCGGGGCGAGAGGGCTGACCTCGCCGCCGCGCCCCTGGAAGAGGCCGGCCATGGACATGGGGAAACCCACCGGGGCGAACGTGATGTCGTAGACGGCCTTCACCTCGTGGCGCATGTGATGCACCGCCGTCACAAAGCCCTGCACCGCAGCAATACAATTGTCTGATTTCACTTCCTGAAAGCTCTTCGGACGGCATCCATATAAGAGCAGATCAAAAGCAGAAACACAAGCAGCATAAGAAGCTGGGATCTACTACCGCTTTTAAGATCTGGTTAGGACGGCTGAACCACCTTGGTTTTGGGCACGAGGGTGTGTTGAGGCACGGGGAGGCCCTTGGAGGCGGCAAACTCCTGCGCCGCGCGCAGCTTGGCCTGCGTGAAGCGGGTGCCCTCCACGAACAGGCACAGCCAGGAAGGGCGCGGATACGAGGCCAGCTGCGAAAAACCCTTCTGCACAGCGCAGCACAGTGCAACACAGGGTCAGGCGGCGAAAAAGAGTACACGCCGATTGCAGGTATCTGACCCACAATCTGCAAACAGTAAACGGGCAGAACAAGCAAAAGGCACGAGTTCAAGCTCCAGAGCGAGCCCCTTTTTGGTCTGATTCCCCCAGTCTACGAGAGCGGCCGCGTACTTCGAGGATTGCCTGGTCCACGGCCCAGTTGCGCGCCAGGAAGATGTACTCCTGGAACCACATGGACCACCCAAACACCTGCACGCAGCAACGCCGTATCAGACTCACATCAGCATTTCATGGAAATTGCAAAGAGGACAATCCGCTTTCATAATCGGCATCCTTACAAACTAGAGGGGGCAGGCGAAGTTCGGATTGCCTGAGTCAGTGGGGCTTTGCCATGGAGAGGGAGCTCGAGGAGGGTGAAGCTCACTGGGAGTAGGCGTGACGATTTCTTCATGACGGCTTTGGCGCCCGCCAGGCAGCCCACCCGCTGCACACGCCCCACCACAGGCTGTCAGCGAACTGGGGCGTCGGGATGGGGCAGTCAGCACGAGAGCCAAGCCAGCGGAATGCCAGTACGAAAAACGTGGACCCGAGGAAGGTGAGAAGAGACACTGCAGGGCAAAAGCAGGGTGGAAGCGCTCACGTTGGCCATGCCCCAGCCGACGAGCCAATCGACGTCACTGCGGTGGTTGCACACAACAATGGCCGCCTCCTTGCCTGCACGCACCGCCACTTGTCAGACGCCATCACAGGTAGAGCAGGTAGACGGGCGACCAGGCAGAGGGCAGCAAGGGCCACTCTGGACAAGCCCCACAGCTTCTGACCGCGCCGAGAAGGGACAATGACGCGCAGGGTGCAAGAGAAGGTGCCTCACCCATCTTGTCAAGAGTCTCGGGCTCCACGAACAGCTTGGGCTGCACGCAGACACGCGAGCAGCCAGTCAGATGGGGCAGTCCGCTACACAGAATGCAGGAGCCTCTCTTGGTGCTTGTTCAAGGGCAGTCTGCAGACTCCTGGGGACCAGCTCGAAGCCAATGTGCACCACTAGAACAATGAAAAGCCATTGCTTGATGATGCAGCTAGCACGCGTCACGGGCTTCCAGAAGGTCGGCTCCAGTTGCAGTGGGAATGTCCCGTCCTGCCTGTCTGGGGTGGCAGCGAGCGGCTCACCTTCATGCCGCCCCACCAGTCGGCAATGAAGACGACCTGGGCCCAGAGGAGCAGGCTGAGGTAGTAGTTGACATGGCGGTACAGGCGCCGCGAGCAGGGCCAGATGAGCAGCAGGGTCACCAGCTGCACACACACGCAGCGCATGAGCATCACGGCAGGGGCACAACACTGCAGCTTGCCGTTTCACTTTCCTAAGATGCAGATGCTACCACGAAATTGTCCAGAGGGCTGCATCCAAGCGAAGGGATGCGGGCCACAGATCTGAGCTGAAAGGAGCTCTCCGCGAGGCAGCATTGCAACGAAACAACCAATTGTCGTGTTGAGCACACACAATCAAATTAGCCTTAACAAAGCATCAGAGCTCCCCGCAGGACTTGCAACGAAGGTGATCAGAGCATGCCACACAGGACTACCGTTTCAACCCACAGAGAAGAACATCTGACTATGCGAGTTTCGGATTCAGCCCTGTGATTGCACAAGTGACATTCTTCCCAGCACCAGCTATGACTGGGCTGCCTCTTCAAACGTTTGTCTACCCCTCTTCCTTATGCGAGTGACTGCACGTGCTAAATGTCATTCCCCACTTTCCGTGCGGTGTTGTGCGGTTTACCTGCACTGCATTGATGAGCAACCCGCTTGCAAAGAACACCAGGCCAAATGGCAGCACAATGGCAATGCCCAGCCCCATGCCTCGCTCCACCGCGCAGCCAGCTGGGGGACACCCAGGGCGGGGATGCGCCCCGCAGTACTAGAGATGCCGAAGTCTTCCTTACCCTGCCCACAGCCAATGCTGCACAACAGTTCGGCGCGACTGAACGCTCAACAAACTTTGCTTCTTGAATCTGAAAATGCAATCTCTGCCAGTGCCCTTGCAAGTTGCATTGGCGTGGTGGTCATGCAGAACTTGGATTCGGGAGAGAAGCGAATGAAGCACCCCATCCTGGACATGGGCCCTCAAAATCCAATCGTGGCCGTCCAGATTTGTTATCGGGCGGGTATCACGAGCAATTGCAGCATGTCCCTTTGCATGGGGGTTACGATCATATAAATTGACGTCCACCGTCCACGGTCATTACACTCCTGATGTCACTCTGCAAAACCTTTCTCGATTGGTGCCTGCATTGTAGCCTGAGGCTGAAGAAGTTGTAGCGCTGCGCCCGCCAGCTGTTCGTGCTGCCGTCTTGGTCTCGGGGACGAGATGAAGGGGTTGACAGATGACCGGGGCTTGCCTGAAAAGGCACGGAAGAAGGTGTGGCAGCGGAAAGGAGGACGGCCAAGGTCAGATTTGGGTGGTGTAGAAGATGGAAGGACACAGCGCGTTTCTGCGTGTACTTTGGAACCTGGCGCCAAAAAGCTTCTTCATCAGTTGACAATGGTTATTCTCAGATAAGTGACGCAACATCCAAAAGTGGGTCTAGCCCTTAACAATGCTGACATGCTGACGAATCAATTTCGCAGGCTGAAGGGCGACTCCACCACTCGCAAGAAGGGCCCAGCGTCAGTGGAGCAGGAGACGAAGAAGCTAAGGCAATTGCAGCTGCAAGCTGTCAAAGATTTGCGACAGGTGAGGGGACTAGGGGCACCACACATATGGTGGTGGTAAGTCCGGCAAGACTGACCACCTTCTGCTTTTTCCTGAATCATGCCACTCCATTATTCTCAGTTCTGCCGCTTGCTTTTCTAAACCTGCAGGCAGTTCGCAATGCCCGCCAGTTTGAGGTGCGGAAGGTCTGCCGGCGCATCCGAGCGCAAGAGGACAAGTGCAAAGTGGTCGCAGACAAGGACTCTGCGGCTGCCGTGTCGCTGCAGAAGGGGCTGGCCAAGCTGGGGGGGCAGCGGGAGGCGCTCAAGGTGCGCAACCGGGCGGCACGCTTCAAGTATCCTATCCACAAATTTGTATTAGTTGATTGAGGAGGCCCAGCCCAGATGTTGTACCACTCTTGAGACATAGAGTAATTTGAAGACGAAGGCTTGGCATCTGCTCAGATCCGCATTTAGACTTGGATTGTACTCTGGAGTTGTAAGCTTCTAATGCGTGCAGGCAGTCAATGTTGCCTTGGTGTTGCGCCGAGCCATTGACCAAGCGGAGGTGCCTGCTGAGCTGCTGCGAGACAGCGCGGAGGCTGACGCGCTGGCAGGGGCTGGAGAGCTGCACGAGTGGGCCGTTGGGCGGCTGCTAGCGGCCCACTGTGTGACGCAGGCATGTGAGAAAGTGAAAGGGGAGGTGGCGGGGCAGAAACGGGCAATAGAAGTGGCGAGCGCGCGAAAGGAGAAGAAAGAGGCGGACAGGCAGGCAAGGGAGAAAGAGGGGGCGGATGCGAATGGAGGAAATGGTGGGCGTAAGCGGAAAGCAGATCAGTTGGTGGGATTGAGCGAGGATGCAGAGGATGAGCCTGACAACCGGGAGGATTCCAGTATGTCAGGCGAGGAAGATGAAGGGGCTGTACAAGATTTAGCAGAGCGGGCCCTGGCGAGGCTGCGGCAGGGGCAGGGGCGCAAACAAGCTCGGCTAGGTGCAGCAAGCAGCGGTGCGGAGGCTTCGAGTAGCGAATCAGACGGCGACGACCAGCCTGTGGATGACCTCGACGTGTCATCAGACGAGGGTGGATTCGATGGCGAAGCAGGGCCCTGCGACGATGTGAGCATGAGCGGAAGCGAGTCTGAGAACGAGCCAGCCGGTGTTAGTGGCAGGAGCATGGCAGGAAAGCAGAGGGGATCTGCCGCAAAGCCAGGCCTCAAGAAGCCCAAGAAGAAAAACCGTCTTGGTCAACGAGAGAGGAAGAGGTAAGGGGATGTTTGATTTACTCGAACTCTGCAAATGCACTGTGATTGTTGAGGGCAGCAATGATTTCTCCTCCAAATTCGCCTTCACGTTTTTGAACTGAACTCCCCAGTGAGCACTACATTGTAGAATCGGGGTAGAATCATGGATCCAAGTTTGTTTCACTACCGGGGTGGTTTCGAGGTCAGGTGGCTCGTAAGCAACTTGGAATGCACCACTGACTATCTAAGTTCGCAGTAGGACGAATTCTTTCAGCTGAACCGTATCGAATCACACAAGATCGGTGTAGAGTTGCTTGGCTTTTGACTTTTCGCCTGCTCTTGCAGACTACGTTGTATCTTGATCAGTCTCGGACCAGTTTGTGTGCGCAGCAATTGGAGGTGCGAGTGGACTTATGGTGTTAATCGTGCCTGCTTCGATCAAGCACTTTCGGGGAGGCAGTCCCCGTTGCAATTCCAGGTGTGCCGATTAATGCACTTGCTACTGTCTGAGATTTCGAGCGCTTATTCACATCCACGTGTCTGCTTGTCAGGTTGGCGGCCGCAGCCGCTCCGGATCGAGGGCGTGGTCCACCAAGAAGCTCCACCGGGCACACGCACAAAGGGCCACAGAAATGGTCCGCGGCTTCGAAGCAGCAGGAGCGGACAACGCTTGCCGCTCGCGGGGAGAGAACTCGACCTACTGCACTTCGTGGGCAAAGCGAAGAGAATCGAAATGGGGGTTTCTCAAAAGTCCGTCCTGAGTCAGCAAAGGTGGTGTTGCATCCCTCTTGGGCTGCGAAAAATGCTGCAGCAAAAATCATAGCGCCGTTCGCTGGGAAGAAGGTGGTGTTTGACGAAGAGGGAAAAAAGAAAGCTTTGTCTAGCTCCCAAGAGTCAATAAAATTTCATGATAACGAGAAGGATAGCAAGTCTAGTCATATGGCAAAGGGCGAGCCAGTATCCCTTCATCCTTCTTGGGCAGCCAAGAGGTCCCAGGCGCAAAAGCTATCATTGTCAGGAACACCCTCTTCTGCCCAAAAGATCAAGTTCGATGATTGATCAGTCGAGTATCCGCGTCTTCTCTCAAGAATTGCGACAACTGGAACATCGTCCAATGCAATGCAAATCCATGCGACTCGAGTAGACGTGATGCAAAGTATCTGGTGCCACCGCAGCCGCTAGCAGGTTCACAGCTCGCCCCTTGAACGCCAAAACTCATGCCCCGCACCTCTATGGCGTTCTGCATAGATTGTACGCGATTCAGACATGCGCGAAAAGTCCGTCAGTTCTTGCAGCTACTTTTAAAGTCTCTCGGTCGAATTATAGACCTTGGACCATGTCGCAAACGGTGGACAGATAACAATAGAACGTAAGCCGCAAGTACACAAGCCAACAGAGAACATCACATGCATGTGCATGAAACAGTCGTCACGAGCGAAGTAGTAGCCCCTTTCCGCTTCCGGAAGTCGACTGGTCCATGCTTCCGTTCGATGAGCACGGATTCCGGTCGAGCAGATTTGATAGCGGAACGTTTCCAGGCGCACAATATTTGCAGCCTGCAGCCTGCAGGGCTGCGTTGCATTGCCTGCCTTTTCTTCACGTTCATTGATACCTAGGTCCTCTAAGTTTCAGTATTCTAGCTCAGCGATGGCGGCATTGTGCGTCAGACGTCCTTTCTAGACCACGTTCAGCCTGCATCTCCTTGTTATGGCACTCTCCAAGCTCCATTATGGGCACTTGCCTGTAGTATCTCCTCCTAGCTGCCCATGTAGTAACGTCTATACCAAGACCCGTGCAAGTTGGAATGTGTTTGCCCAATTCCCCGTCACTACGCCTGGGCTTCTCTGCATTTTGAAAAGCTGCAGCAAGGACGAGTCAACGCTGGTTGTTGAACACCAGCGAGGTCTGCATTGGGGGCAGCGAAGCTGGTGCGCAGCTGCAGGGCGTCTTGCTGGGGATACTGCAGTTCTGGTCGACACAAGGGAAACAGATGGGTCACTTCAAGAGCTACAATTGCCTCACATTGATGATGGTACGCCGGAGTCTGATCCCTTCAAGAAGGGGCAAAGTCGAGGGCGTGGATCCCTGAAAGAGGCATGGGAGAGGAAGCGCGCGCTGCGGCAGAGCCTGCGGGAGGCGGGCGTGCAAGCTGCGCCCACAGAGAAGCTGCTGCGCTCCACAAGAAGGGTAGGCGACCATGCGCGGGCCAGGCTGCAATTCTGGGAGCTGGAGGGACCCCACGTGGGGGCGGGGGGCGGGGCAGCGGTGGAGGGGCATCCCTGGCTGCTGACGTGCGACTACCACGAGATGCTGGCCATCCGAGGCTGCCTGCTGGCGCATGGGGTCTCCCTCCGCCGCAATGCCAAGCTCCTGGTAAGGGGAATGCACCTTGGGGAGAAAGCCCCCAACGGCCCTGGCATACTGCCGGCAAGAACCTGGGGGGCAACTTGATGATGAATCAAGAACTTGACGGTCCTCTGTGAATGCTGCTTGGCTGTGGAGGCTGCCTGCCAGCGAAGGACCACCACTTGGTGATGCTGTAGACTGACCCCCGCATTGTCTCTGCAGAAGTACGCCCTGGAACACGGGCCCAACAACGTGGAGCGCCTGTTGTTGCTGCTGGAGGAGCTGGGCGTGTCGGACATCACTCGCGTGGTGCACACCTACCCCAGGCTGCTTGGGCTGCGGTGAGCCGCCTTTCTACCGGTGGTATTCTCCTGGTTGGTTTGCCCAGGCCAGCCGCAAGCCACCTCTCTACATGTGGCCTTCCCAGTACTGCCTTCGCTGCTCAGCATCAGCTTCGCATGGTGGATGTGGCAATCGGATGCAGCTCGAGTCACAACCTGGTTTGGGCCCTGTCGCCCTTTGACCCCTCCCGACCATACTCTCGACGTTGCGAGTTTTTTGTGTGTGTTTGAAATCACGGGAAACTCGGCGCTTGCCCTGAGTGGGCCCTGGTGTGATGCACTCCCCCAGTTCTGCGCCCCAGGTCGGAGGACGTTGCGGCCAAGGTGGCGTTCTTGCGTGACCTGGGCTTGGACGCATGTCGCTTGGGCCAGCTGTTCCAGTCCCAGCCGCGCTTCATCTACCCCAGCCTCGCAACCATGCAAAGCAAAGTGCGCAGCACACTATAAGGGAGCCCATTCTACCTTTGGTGCGAGCTTTATAGCGACTCTGAGCCGCGTCGTGAATGTGAAGGCTCGTTTTCTGGCTGACTTCTGCAGACTTGGTGCTGTCAGCGTCCAGTTTCAGGTTCGCCTTGAGCCCTGACCCGTCTCTTGCGCTGCCTTCCTCCGTTGCAGGTGGCCTTCCTGGTGTCCATGGGCTTCAGCCAGGCTCAAGCGGCGGTGGTCATCTCGCGCTACCCCCTCGCTCTTGGCTGCGACCTGCACTCCCACTTCCCCCGCATCCAGCAACTCTTCGAGGTACGCCATCTCTAATGCCGACGGTCTGTGACGGCAGAGGACATCGTGTGCTAGGATTGTGAACCGCGTTTCCCTCGCTCTGCGTTTCGTCCATTTAGGCCCCACTTCGCCCCTCAGATGAAATAACGGCCGCTGTTGGGCTGTCGTAGCGTACATGCTGATCCTAACTGGATACGTTGCAGTTGCTTCCCTCGACGATGTTGGACGGCCTCCCAAGTGCTCGAAACGAGAACCGCCAAGAGCGAATCTAATGTTCGAAGCAGGATGACACCGTGGTTGCCTCGCACAAAAACTGATCGATGAGACAGGGTCGTATTCAAGTCCGGACAGTCGTTTCTCAAGCTTCGGTTGGAGCTTGACCGGCAGCCTGAAGGCCCTGTTGCGCCTTGTGTGCGCGCAGGAGTACGGCTTCTCGCACGCCGACTTTCTGTACGTGGTGGAGCGGTCCCCGGGCGTGCTGCTGAGCCGCGTGGACGCCAACCTGCGGCCCAAGCTGGCCTTCTTCCGCGCGCGCGGCCTCTCCCCGCTGCAGCTGGTGGCCATGGTCAAGGCCTACCCGACGCTGCTCGGGAAGAACCTGCACTCCGCGCTGCAGCCCAAGGTGCGCGGAGCCTCGTCGTACGACGGCAGTCCTTCCGTGCTGGGTCTCATGAAAGGGCACGTATTTGGGAGAACATTACAACCCGACTGGGGAAAGGTTTGCTTAATCAAGTCTCTTTGCCCGATAGGCGGCTTCCTTTTTAAAAACGTCAACGGGGATGTTCTCATCCTCACACCTTTTCAATTGGTGGAACAAAGTTATCGATTTGCTCTTGTTCCAGATAGGACCACTAGCGTTTGATGACCGGCACATTTTCGCAACGGCTGTCTGCGAGCTTAGAGTTCATCGTCTGCACATCCATACCTCTTGTGGCCACCTTCACGTGTCCACACAATGAGCCCCAATGTTCGAGAGGGCGAACCCGTGTCACGTAAGCGACAATTTCTCCTTTGTGTCATTCACCAGTGACTCGAGTTGCCTCGCAACATTCCAGCCGTATCTCCCGAGCAGCGCCTTTTACGCAAAGCTCATTCTGTCGCTGTAGTTTGACGTGAGGTGTTGCGAGCAGCGCCTTAACACAAGACCGCTATCAATTGACGTGTGGTGTTGTTTCTGCGCTGGCTGCCAGGTGGAGTACCTGGTGGGCCCGATGGAGCGCGACATCAGCGAGCTGGTGGTGTACGCGGCGGTGCTGGGGTACAGCATGGCGCGGCTGCGGCGGCGGCAGGAGGCGGTGGCGCAGTACGGCATCACGTGCAGCCTGTCCACCATGCTCAGCCGCACCGACGCGCAGTTCGCGCAGTTCATCGCGCGCGTCAGCCGGCAGACGTACGAGGCCAAGATGGCGGGCGTGCGGCGCGTGCACCAGCAGCAGCAGCAGCAGCAGCCGCAGCGGCGGAGCGCGCTGGACCGGGTGGCGCTCGCGGACTTTGAGCTGCCCGTGTACAAGATGCACCGCGGGGACGGCCAGCTCAAGTGGCCGGCACGGTAGCTGCACACTGCTTGGATGCCGAGGACACGCGCCCCTTGTACAGACTCATCTGCGTTGAACACGAGTTGACGGGAACAGAGCCCACTCTTAACGGTAGTTGCACGGCTTGTTGAGGACTGGGTTCCATTTCTGCTTGATGGCACTGATAAAAAAGAAGAGCGTTTGCCAAGCCAACCAAAAGTCGCAAGCGGAGACGGGTTAGGTGACTGTACGCAAAAACGTGCATGCTCCAACAATCACAGTGAACGTGATGAGATCGAGCTATATGCTCAAGGCCGCTGTGATCATGATAAATTGACTTTTTCATGACGCGTGAGAGCATGCTGTGTTAACCAGAGGCCAAGTGCAGTTGTGTTGGCCTCCCTACAATTTATTGGTCGCACAACTGTTTAGATTGTGGGGGGGACGCTACAATTTGCATCCTCAATTTCTCTCATGGTATATCATGGTATATTAATCATGTCAGCTAGCATGTCATATTTCTGCACAAGCTACCTACGGTGGGTTCCGGCCGAGTCGACTCCGACTCGAACCGCAACGAAATTGTGGGACCCGGTATCAAATTCTGTCAGTGATACCGGCGGTTCACGTTACGCTGAGTCGGACTTCCGAAACNTGTACGGTTCGAGTACTCAGGAATTTTTGCTCGGCCGTAAGTGAGTGTCATGAAGTTGTAAACAAGTGTATTATTTTACACTTTGACGGGAGCATGAAAATGCCACACTAAGATGCGGCTTATGCAACATGCAGAAACCTTTGACAAGCTAAAAAAAATGTTGGGGGACCGTCATTAGCTGTCCTTTGAAGCTCCAACATCATGTTTTGTTCAGGACAAATCTCAAATAGCAGCATAGGAGGCGCAAAGTTGGCCGCCATTGTTGGATTTTGAAGAGCGCCTTCTCTTACACTCTTATATCAAATCTCTGCACTCTTCTTTCAGTCTGGGTACCGCGGTACTCGTGCACGGTACAAGTCGGAAGTTCCGACCAAGACCATGAAATTTAAATTTGTCGGCCGCGCAGACTCGAGTCTCGCGCGACGGTACCGTACCTCCGGGCAGTACGTAATTGCCCGTTTGATCGACGTGTCAGGAAAAGCTCGATTCATGAATTCGGACCCGATTCTCTAGTACGGCCGAGTACGATCGTTAGTACTGCGTACAAAATGTGTCGCGACGCGTGACACCGGTCATACAAATTTGAGACCCGACCGTCGCGCGGTCGATACCGTCGAGACCCACCATAGGTAGCTTGTGTGCAAAGAGTGCTAGGTTGCCCTAGGTACGTGGGCGGGTGTGCTGGGGAATTGATAGCATTGATAACTGCAAGCGCACATGTAGCACAATTACGTGCACGCTCACAATACCTATGGAGAGTCAGCCAGATCGCGCTGGCCGCCATGCATGCATGCTCATATAGTAGGGGTGCGGGCCCTAGGCTTGCCTTCCAATGGTTATTACTGGTTAGTTTCATGATGCTTAAAGCCTAGGCTAGCCATGCATTCGTATCATTGAGTACTGTCGTGCACGCGCATCAAACATGTCATTTATTGTATTACATGGGTGGAATAATATGAGAGATGTTTGCTGCGCTTGTGACGATATGGGCCTGAATTAGCATAAAGGAACGGTTCATATTTACATGCAGAACTCCCTGCAATCTGTTCACCGCACCTCCATGAGAAGCCATCAGATTTTTAAGGAAGGGCGGCACGCCCACTCGCACCTCCGCTGCTTGCATCCTGGACCTTCAGAAGGTCGTCCACCGTCTCTCGTGACACGGCCCTACACCTCCTCTGGAGGACTTCCCACCCCGCACAAAGTCCTCCGGGAGCCCCTTCTCGCCAGCGAGCTGCTGCCGCGCCTTGACATTCCATGCGAAGGCGACACTAAGAGCAGTGGAGGGGTTCACATCCTCGTACACCTCGATGGCGCAGTCCTCAGGTCCACCATCGACGGTGCAGTCCCGCGCAAGCGTCAATGTGCACTTCGTCGATAAGTCGGTGATGAGGCTGAGGGGGGGGATCTCCCCATACGCGATGCCTGCCCACAGCTGATAGATTCCCTGCGGAGGAGCAAGCATGACAGTCTTATGGCAGCACTTTGACTAGACAGCCAATCTGAGAAGGAATGCTGTTGCAAGCTTTATTACGAATGTGAACAACAGCGTCTACAATTGGGTGGACATGCCCCGCTGCAATCAGTATTGGGCGCCTTCATTTCGTTCGACGCATATAAGCGTCAAAGGTGCAGCCGCTAAAGCATTGCGCTGGCACATGGAGGAGAACAGGACGTGACCCAGACCGTATTGACCAAGATAAAGTCGAACTTCTTCCAGACTTGCATCAAAAGCGGCGACTAGTGCCGCTCATCGATGCCGACCCTGCCTGGAAACCCCAGTCGCCCAGTCTCTGCAGCGCTTTACAAACCATCAAAGCGGCAGACCATCAAAGTGTGTCAATGGTACACCAAACCGCCTAAACCTATTCAGGTAAGACGTTGATCGGTTGAATCAGGTCGTTGATAAGTATATGGTACCCACTAGAGAGTTGAACAAGGTCACACTGTCATTGTTAAAACCGTAACCATTTGTTGATAAGTCTCTCAACACGTCACTGCCTGTAAGTGAAAGGGGGCATCTTTTCCTTAGCAGACAGTGCACCTAATGCCCCATCACTCAACGAAAACATGAACGAGCCAAGTCCGCAAGACTCTTTCAAATGGATGAAGACTGCGCTGAAAGCAGATTTCTTATCAATCACGAGCTACACCTCACAAGCTGTACCCTCCGATATCTCATCTCAACATGCACTTACCAGCTCGGCAGGTTCCTCTTGAGCCCACCAGTCCCTCCCCTTCACTTCAGCTGATTTTCGAAGATTTGCCGACAGCCCATCCTCAAAATATACTTGAATGGCCTCAAGATAGAAACGGTGACTTTAGACCCGTGACCAGGAACAGACAAGGCACTCGCCTGGCCAACAACGCCCGTGGCCTCCTTCGTAGTCTTCAGATCCAGATGTACAGCGCCTGTTGCCAGCGCGTACTCGAGCTCCGCTGCGTCCGTGAACAGCAGGTCGTTCGTCCCGGACAAGTATGTGTGAACCTTCCCCGTTTTGACCAGGACGCTGAGGGCTTCGTTGCTCTTGTCCGCAATACAGAACACCTTTAGAGGACCCTGCAGAAATATCAGCAACAAAAAGGTCAGGAAGAAACTTTGAAGGATGATTGTAGGATCATTCACAAGGGCCCCGAGCGTCAGCCTCGGTCCAATTCGAGAAATTTTCGGCATGCGGGTCATGTATACCGTCATCCATTCGGTGGTGTGAAGCATCTCAAAACGCAAAACTTAGATAAACGCAGCGGGCAACCATAACAGAAGGCCTCGGGACTGATCCGGTCTGCCTTCGAATGCACCTGCAGCCCTTTGGAGGCCAAGAGCTGTAAAAGACCATTCAGCCATCGGGAGGCCAGAAACCTGTAAAAGACCATTCAGCCATCGAAAGGCCACCAGACGCACTTAGAAAAGTCAAACTTCATTACTGCAGGCTAGCACACTTCGACGAGGGGCAGCTGATCAGGAAGGGCCGAGCTCGACGGCTTGAGTCCAGCCGTCCACTGTCTTTCAACGATCGTCCACAGTTGCATACCAACACCACAGTGCGCAAGAAGCCCCAGCACGTGAAAAGGCCATCGCATTGGTTTGTCCACAGTTCATGTGGAGACCCAGGGAGCCTCACTGCTCTTGGAACAACGAGAAACAGAGTTCCCTGGGCGCTGGGCGCTGTAAGTAGAAAGGCCCTTACCACTCCCAAACGCTTCGCTTCCGCCTCTAGGAATTCAGCGCAGGGGCGTAGTAGTCGCGCTCCTTTCCGGTGGGGATCTCCTGGAAGCGCTCCACGATCCGGCTGGGGTCACCTTGGAGTCGGGCCAGGAGAGCCGGGAGGTCCTCCTCCTTGCGTCGATAGACGGACGTCCCGGCGCGGCGTGAGATCTCGAACGGCAAGCGCCATGCGTCCTTTCCCTTGGACCCGTCAGAGATCCTGATCACGACAAAAGACGTGGTGGCCGCTGCAGTTCAAAAGAAAGCTTCGTTTCAGTCGTACACAAACACGTAATTGCACATATCGAAGGTCAGGGTCCGCTCCATTGTAGGCTTGCCAGTTGCTGTTCTACTGCCCCTCAATGCCCCGACCAGCTCTAATGACGCTTTGCCATAAGACCAGAGCCTGCTGTACAGAATCTACACGGATGATGCTCCAACAATGTAAGAGCCACAACCGAAAGCCGAGACCATGTTGCGACCAGCACCCGTCCAAGCCTCAAAAAAACCACAGAGCGCTCTTTCTTGAAAGAAATCAGCTCACTAACGACGGTGTCCACAGCTGCAGTGACGACAAGGAGAAAGGGTTTGCCAATACTTACGCTTTCCCAAGCGAGGGGGGAAGGGCGTCCCCTGATTCACGGAGCCTTCCGAGCCCAGCTTCGGAGCCATTTGCACCATCGTGGCGCGCTGCGGCTTTGCTGCGGATCCCAGACCTGGATGGTCGGCTGGCTGGCTCCCCACGCTCTTGGATTTTTTTGAGTTGGCTCTTGAGCGTGCTTCGTAGCTTCAGCAACTATTGCGATCTGCAACAACGCACTTAACTTTTTTAACTCCTTAAGCCAGATTCAAGACCGTCCATATCAATGACGCGCGTCCAGTCGCTTCCTTTGGAGCACAGGCCTACACATCGGATGGTCACAGAAACATGTGTAGCGTGACTTCATCGACGTAAGAGAGGCTCCATATCAAGCAGCAACAAAGGGGTACTTTCTGAGTGTCCTGGCAGAAGCAGGATACCCCAGGGAGGAAATGAGCCCTTCAAGAACCAAGAGAACACACCTGGTGTTCCTCAGCGTAGTCGTTGACTGCTACAAGTTCAGTGCTAGGCAAGTTCGCAATAAGCTTGGTCAGCTTCTGTGGTTTGTTCAGGACCGTGGCTGACAGGACCTCCATGACAGCTTCACAGGGGAGCGCCTCAGTGAAGTGCAGCCAGGTGGGGGCGTGCGAGAAGGCAGTCGTATGCTGTGACAAGGACAGAAAGTGGGGTGAATGAGAAAGCAGGCACAGTCACTGGCATGTCGAGGAGCATGTTCACATGAGATAAAGAACAGCAAAGTAATAGCAGCCCTGCTGTTGACAACACAGTCTGCAAGATGCATCCAACCATGCACGTACAGATTCAAGTGAATGGCTGCACTTGAGTCCTTGACACAGGGCCAAATCCCAGAAGCGCAGCAGAATCCTTGACACTTACCTCACCAAACTCGGAGGGAACCATCACCCTCAAATGCTCCTGCAAGAACTTCTCCGGAAAAGTTTCTGCACAGAGAACGCCAGCAAGGTGGTGAGGCGATCGGAAGTGAAGAAGCAAGTTGTAGCTTTTCCAGGACGCTTGAAGCAACATGGAAGACTGAATCTGTGCTGTAGCTCTTGTCTTGCATCTGCCTCCTTGATAATCAGTGAACTATAAAAATACAGCAACATATGGTTCTATAATTCCACACCTGAAGCAACTCAGATACTGACGAAGCAGCAGCCTGGCAAGACATACAACATGAGGAGGCCCACCCCTCGAGGGCCCGATCTGACTCCTTTCACAAGGCACTCACCACAGACAGCCCGTTTGGGCCATACACCATAGGCCACCTTCTGCTCCTTCACCACCCATGCGCCAACATCGATCTTCTCAGGTGCATCGAGCCACCTTCTGCCCCCGACTCGAGCTTCCAAACCCTCACAAGCCTCCGCTGATCTCCAAGACAACTTACGCAACCCTTGCATCACTTCCTGCAGCCTTGCCTGGATGTCCAAGTTGGACAGGTCTCTCAGCCGCTTTCTGCAAGACATGAAATGCGATCCGTTCATTCCCTTGTCAGCTGGAATGCTACAGTGATAAGGAAGGCGATACGTGCTGACTCAACGTCGAAGAGCGCCCTGGGCCTGGGCCTGAGGAGTCAGCGAGTCACCAAGAAGCGCGGAAATAGGTGTTTGCGTTAGCGGTGTGAATTTGCGTGACAAAGGGGTGGTATGTTGCTCACTGCACTGCGAGAGGCTTTTAACATTTTCTGTTTGTGACCAAGGTGTGAAAGCCGGTGCATGCGGCTGTGTCTTGGTTTGATGGAAGGATCATCGCGACTGGCTGGTGCTTATTACCACCTCAGCTAATCATTTGCCTGCCTATTTAATGACCTGCCCCACGTGTACATGCCGAAAGGCTCTTCCTGGAAGTTTTGCGTGGAGCTGGGGTACAATTTCTCAAGAACTGCGGTTAAACGAATTGGGTTTCTCTTGACCAGCTACTAACTGCAGCTTGCAGAGCATGTGATTTCTGCCGTCCATATTTGAAATCTGACGGTTTGTGAGCGTTGTGCATTGCGACCCACAAAGCTCTCCGACTTTTTCAGAGTACAAAAGCGCGATTTGGAGCCCCCTCAAAAGCGTGCAGTGGCGTATGCCATGTACCCAGGTAGGGGGTTTGCGGGCGATTTCAAAGTTACCTTTGAGCTTTGTAAGGTCGACTGGAAAGTTGAAATGTGTCGCCAGGAATCGAACTGTAATGCTAAACCGGTAAGAGTGACTGCGTTACACTTTACAAATCCGCGAGTTCGTAACGCCAGTCGATTGGGTATATTTAGCGTTACCAGAATTTCTTAGACTATCTTCTACTATACATACACTATACACTATACTTGCTGCCGCGCACTGGTGCATACCTAGATTCAATATGATATGAAGTGGCGTACACGGTACAGACGTGACAGAGCGGTGCCGCCAGGGGTGAGGTCCGAGGGTTCAATGCTCGAACAGGTCAACTTGTAACCTAAAATTGTCAAGAGGTGAATCTGTGCAAGTGGAAGACCGCTAACCCCAACATCCTGATTTTTGTTTTCGAGCAAACCAACCCGGCAAACCCGGGTTAGAAGTTTCAATTCCGGCTTTGCAGTAGTGTGGCAACTCCCTTGTGTCGTATTTAATTTGGGGCTTGTCACCAAAGGTTGATAGGCCGGGGGACGGGTAGGGTAGGTTTGGTGGTTTAATAGGGTGGGTAGGGGTGCGGAGCGCGTAGGTTTCTGGGTTAAAGGGTTTTTAAATTTTGGTGCCCGGGGCTTTTGAATCTTAGGAGACAAGCCCCTTTAAGGAGACAAGGGAGCTGCCCGTATCATACTGGTAACTCAAGCGTGCCCTAAAAGCAGTGTGCCCTAAGATCCGTAGACCCCGGCCGAACAAACTAAAAAACCTAACCCAAACATTTCACACGCTCCGCACCCAAACCCACCCTAACCACCAAGCTAACCCTACCCGTCCTCCGGGTGCCTATCTTAGGGCACACCGCGGTTAGGGCACACTTGCGTTACCAGACTGCCCTGCAGTGACCTAAATTACCTAATCAATCATTGAACATGTGGCAATCCCCGGGCCAGGCCTAGGCATTATGCCTGGCATGAGACAAAGAGGGGATTGCGTGGATTGCTCTGCATCATTGCTGCAAGTTGACTAAAACCCTAGCTTTGCCCAGTCTGCGAAATAAGGGTGGGGATATTGGAACCCTATAGGCCGCCAGAACCACGGCACCCGAAATTGAGGGGCGTGGAACATTGGCCTAGCGGCCAATGTTCTCCGCGGGGCGATACGTGAACGACTAGCGTCCCTCAGCTGGCCATAGGCACTTAGCTGTGATGTCAATATTAAATCCCAGTGCCCATCCAGTGGCCCATAGAATGTATGTGCTAACAAGGCTTCCATGGATATGAGCAAGTAATAACTCAAGTAGCTCTGTGCCCGTATCCCTTTATTCGGCTGAGGTATAAGAGCTGGCGAGGCTGTGGTATAGGTCGACACTATCATATGCTGTAAAACAACTAGGTACGGTACCTTCGAATCTCTATCCGGTAGGTCTGCCGGCACAGTGTTAGTCTGCCGAAGTTCAAGAACTTCGAAGCGACTGCTGCTGTCGGCACGGCGGTTGCCACGAAACGAACAAAAGTTTTGCACCGTTAGATTTGCACAATTGTATCTGACGCTTGAAACCCATGACGTATCATCGCGCGCAGCGCCGAATGATGCGGCGACCCTCGATTTCAAGGAGTGCCCCGGTCATTTGCAGTGCTAGCGCGCAAAGTGCCGGCCGCTGACGTGACTTTACGGCAGTCGATATTGACGCTCGACGGCTCTGACTCGTCGAAATTAACGACTTGCAATCTTGATCGTCCGAACTTATTGGGGTCAACTGCGAGAACGAATGTCAGGAATTTAAATCTCATACGGACCGCAGAGACAATATCCTTAATGACAGTCTGACTGGTTTCTGCTCCTCCTAAAGGCGTAACGCCAGTCCAGGAACTTCAGGATGTTGTGTGTAAATAAAAGATAATGGAAGCGTAATACCTCCGGGACTCCGGAGGGGACGGTCCCTCGAACATTTTGCCAGCAGTTATTTACTGAACCGATATCACTTTCTGATATATCGTGTCCATCATTTGCAGCAGCTATACCCTCTTCGTGATGTCAGTTTGCCTCTAATCATCCAAATGCATTTTTCCTTTAAATGCTCCCAATCCAGGAATTACTTTATCAAGCCCCGGGATAAGGGCGTCAGTCAGAGATGTTCGTCACATCCGAATGTAGGAACCGCAGAACATAGCCGTCATATCCAGTACGGAGCCCGCCAGACGCTTTATACCGCAGTCCTGCAGTTTACGAGCTGCGCGCTACCCTGCAGGCATAGCCACCCGTCGTAGGCAATGTCACGTCCTTAACGCAAAGCAACGACAATTTTGCAACTCAATCAACCTACAACTTTGATACAATTCAACATAGGCCACAACCCCCTCGAGCTCGTCATGCCTTCCTCTCGAGTATGTTACATACCCTCCTATCGGGTCTTCACACAGAGGCGGGGGGCAAGCTTGTAGCACGCCCTCTCGCATGCGACCTAGTTGGTCGTCTCGTGCAGCTTGGGGTCATCGGGCTGCGAGTCCTGGCCCATCCGCGTCCCTGCAACAGGACGCCCAACCAGCACCGTCAGCATGCACATGTGCAAACCTTCGGTCCGAAACCTAATCAATGACGGTCCAAAACCTAATAGATGCGGTGTCACGCTGGCGCTCAGTCAAAGCATTAATGCACCTCTGACAAAGACGAGATGCTGTGATCTGTTTTATAATGCCCAATCCGCTTTTTCCAACTATCCACAGTTGTTCGACAATACATCAAAGAACTAAACTAATGAATGTATGAGCGACCAGATGCAACATCGCCGCTCACCAAAGCCCTCTTCGCTGGAGCGCGTGTGGTAGTCGTCCCCGTAGCTGGCCTCCCCGTGCGTGGGCTTCTGCGGCTGCGCTGTGGGGTCGTGTTCCGCATCCACTTGGTGCAGCGCAGGGTCATTCTCATTCTGCTCGTCGTCCTGGCCCATGCGCGTGCCTGCAACCCGCCACCCACCACACTTCTTACTGTCTGTACTTCTCGCCCGAACGACCTGACCTGTCAACATGCTGTTGATGGCTGCGCAGCGTCCCTGTGCTTTGAGCATCTTTGACTTGCCTCCTCCAACAACTTGAAGTCCCGATGAATCGAACGTCAAGCCCAAGAGACGGGTGGACTTTAACTCGAAGATTAGTTCGGTCAGGTGTGGAGCAGCTCAATAATCGCATTGAAAGTTCCAGTTTGTGTTTGCCTGGTAGATCGGCCTTCTCAGTCATGCCGCCTATCACTTCTAGATTCGAGACTCATCTCCAGTCCGGCAAAAACAGAATCTCCCTGACTCTCTCCTCGGGACTCATTCAGTACCGGGCAAAGTCCGCGGGCCTCACCGAAGCCCTCCTCGAAGGACCGTGTAGCGTACTTGGCCCCATATCCGTGCTCCCCCGGCTTTGCCGGCTCCTGCACCGTCTCCTCCACCACAGTGCGCTCCACCACGCGAACCACCAACGTCTCGCCCCCTTCCTGGCGCTCGTGATCTGCACACAGCCACCGCAATCAGCCTCCGTTTTGGTCAGCTTCAACAACGAGCCCCTTTTGAGATTGCGCTCTGGTGGCCCATTTGTCATCTCTCCTCCTCCAGCCTGGCCCTTCTGATAGTGCACAACCAAATGCTACCTGTAACTAGTCAGCCGCCTGGATGAACCAGGGGGCCGCTACGTCGGCCCCAGCTCAACTGAAAAACAGCTCTGAATGCGGACACTTGACAGCACTACAGCGTCCTCGGGTTGACAACTTCTCTGGACTTCCATTTGAGACTCTCCTCAAGCTTACCAGTTCGACGAAGTCCTGGTAAGTCCTTATCTTTTTGAAGGTTGAATTGCTCAGAATTGCTGATGACAGGAACTTCAAGTGCCTGAGTTTTTTGCACAGCGAATCGGCCGTTCGTGAAGCCTCCTCGCCTTGTATACCCTATTGGTATAATGCAAAGACAGGCTCCCAAAGACTCACCTACAACAGTCACTGCTGGATCCATGGCTTCCCGCGTTCCTGTACCTGCACAGCAGCAGAAGAGTACAACTTTCTTCAAAAGCCTTGGGCGCAAGCTGGACCAGACTCTGATATCCCAATATAGGACAGGCATCTGATGCGCTGTTTACTCAGTCTAAAATTGAACAATAGATGCGGGTTTCGTCAAGCAGCTCACAGTAATGTTGAGGGCATTACGAACTTGTTCTGAAACGAGCCTGATTCTACAGCCCCATCAGATCCAAGAGAAGTTTGACTACCAGGATGGCTGCAGAAGTAGCCACTGACGAGCTTCTAGCTTACCAATGCCTTTGTCTGATGAGTGGCCGCCATGCTTGTGTGCATCTGCAGAAGGAAAAGATAGTAGATGTATTACAGGACTGGCTGAACCAACATCAGGGAAGGAAAATATATAAGAAAGCCTGCCACATTCAGTCTGTCTTTTCTGACGCCCGCGTGAGCCCTTCAGTGGCTACAATCACAAGCGTCAGTGTGAATCAGAGTAGATTGCACTGATGCTTCCCCAGCTTGTGCAAAGGCAGCACAGCAGGATGTACCCCACATCCTAGTTACTCCATGCAAGGGAAGAGAGGGGCGCTGGCTGCCACGCGGCACCCCTAGAGGCCCACCCGCCATCTCCTCGTCGAACGCCTGCCGCACCTTGTGCCCAAACGCCGCCGTGACCGTGCCCTCTGAGTGCGCCGGGGGTGATCCATGTACTGCCCGCCTTAACAGTGTACTAGAGAACCAAGCGGAAGGTCCAATCAACTGCGGCTCCAAGACAACATCAGGTGAGCTGATGGCTTTGGCACCCAAGGGCAGGCTGTGCAGAATACCCCCATTGGCATGAAGCAGGGTGGAAAGGCCCCTGTGTGCTCCCCCTTCCCGTGCTGGGGAACACACCGCGCGCGACGCCGGCTGTAGCTGTGCATGCATGGACCGAATGCCACCATGGATAGTGTCAAATTTGCATCCCCCCGCAGCCCGTCTGAGCAACCGCCTCCAGGCACTGGTGCCAACAACTCGAGCAGACGCCATGATCGAACACCCAAAACACCGCTAGTGTTGACAGCGACGGAGCCTAAAAGCGCACCTGCAATTTGTGCATCAGCATCTCATACCAATGCGGGCATTCGATCTACCCGCCGGAGAGCGGAAAAGCGAAGCATCTTCGACGAATACGATGCTGCCACTTTTCCACTTCGGGCGCCTGCTGACGTCAGAGTTTTACGCCAAGCGTGACGGTCCATCGCCGGTGCGCGGCGGGCCGGCCGGGCCGGCGCCCGGCCCACGTGACGTCCGGCGGCGCAGCGCGGCCGCCCGCCGGCGGGCCCAGAAGGTCGAACGGTTTCACGGTTCAACAGACCCGGGCCATTCACTTTTCGCAAGCAGTAGGTTTACGATGTAAGCAGCATGTTCTCTTTTGACCTATTGCTAGCAATCGCGTAGTCAATGATGGCGGGATACACTCCTAAAAAAAGAATACATATACTTCGCAATAGAATTCGTTCCGGCCATCAATCGACCACCGTCATCACTTGGGTGCGGCCTGCGGCGGACGACATGACCATCGTTCCTGCAAGCTGTCCGGCGATCGCATACCGCTGCCGAATCTGAAGGCAGTGATTCTGCTCATACGCAATAGTGTCCGAAAGTGAGTTTGTTAAGAACGGCTTGGCGGCCTCTTGCCATTAGTTCGTCAATGACAATTGAGCATACATTAACCTATACTCCCCAAACATCCGCCTTATCAAAAACTGCTCAAAGACACCATCTAAGCACAATGATTGACAGGAGTCCCTCGCTGTACCACATCAATAGACATAACAACAACTGACGTATATACCCATGACAGATTGCACATCATTACAGCGGCTGTCTGCCTAAACAAAACGACTCAATGTTTGATGCAACATGGATTACGCGGTCCGTTTGACTGCCATCTGCTTCCAAGCCTCAAACAAACAAATCCCGCAGTTATCTGGTTGGGGGACGCGTGCAGTATATCAAGCAGCCGACTACGCAATCTGATCAGGCGGCTGCACAACCAACAAGAACCACGGCAGAAGGCGCTGCTCGGGACCCCACGCCCGCATGGCACTCTCGTCACGCCAGGCCGGCCATCATGCGTTGCTGACTGCCTGGCCGACTGTCGTACTGTCCTCGCTGGCCCGCTCCCTGGTGCACACGTCTCGACGACACACGGGGCACACCCTGCACGCACGCGGAGCAGAGCGCATCGGAGGTGAGGCGAAAGAGCGGGCATCCCCGAGTGTGAGGAGAATCCGACACACAATCCCCCTCTGCGTATTGAACTCCAGAACAGTTGCACGATATTGTATGACGGCATGCTTTCAAAGCATATGCCCGCTCACACCTTCGCTTTGTCGCCTTTCCGAGGTACCTTTGCTACAACCGGAGCGACTGGCCTGACCCAACGTGTCTACGGTCCTCCAACCACCATTTTGGATCAGCCAACGGGAGAAACGCCACGAGAGTACAAAAACTCTCGCTTTAGCGGGATATGCCCAAACGGATCACCGACAACCAGGACAACCGTCTAAAGCACGTGGTCACGCCCCGTGAAGGGGCGGGCATGCTGTTTGGCTGACCTGTGGACCTGGAGGAGCCACTTGTCGATGCACGGGCTGTGGTACTCGTGGCCGCACGGCAGCCGCCGCAGCGCCTCCCCCGCCAGGTACTCCGTCAGGCAGATGTAGCACCTGCACGCCGCGCCGCGCACAGGACGGTCAGAGGCAGCGCGCAGGCAGTGGAGCAACGATGACGGCCACTCTGATGCCTAAGGCAGCCCTAGCTGTGCCTGCGCCTCGGGTAATATGGCCTCCTGGTGACATGGTCAGCAAGGAAAGTTCAGGGGTCGTGGGGGTAAACGAGCTTACAACACAACACCAGCAAGCAGGACGTCCGACCGTCTGCCACACAACTACTCCCAGAACCCGTGGAAGGAGGACGTGGATTAAATCTGATCTTCTTGAACCCTCCCAGAGTTTAGTACTATTTCCACCGCGCGGGCCGGTATGACTCCTTTGAATTTCCGTACCGGTGAAAACTACCTACTTGTGCTGGCGATCATACTGCAGGTATAAGGTGAGGACCAGGAAAGTCACTCGGTGATCCACGTGACTCCCCAGCCAGTTGCCGGGAGGCGGCTACACTACGCAGCGCGGTCCACAGTACTGTACAGCTGAAAACTTCAAAAGTCCGAATTTGGTCCACGTTCTCCTTCCCCGGGTCTCCCAACGTCCTTCTCAACTTTCAAAGAGGCCGGGGCACTCACTGTGGCAGTGCGTCCTGCTCTGCCTCCCCGCTGTTGGCCGTCGTGGCGGTCGGCTCCTGTGGTTCGAACACGTGGAGGGGCAGCGCCTGGACCACCGCGCGCGGAGCCGGCTGCCGGCCGCGGGTGGGACCGGGGGGCGCCCACGGCACAGCGGGGCCGCTCTGCGCCTGGAGCTCATCCAGCACCTGCGGCCAAGCACGGCGCCACTCACACACTGCGTGCGGACTCAAGGTGGACACGAGGCCGCCCAGGCTGGCCGTTGGACGAATCTAGATCGGGCATTGGGCGTTTACAGGCGCACCAAATGCTGAGGATCTTCTGCGTATTCAAAAAGTCCATATGTGCGCTACTGTGGAAGTGTCTCCCCGACGCGTCTGCAAGGGAAGCCAGCTTCAAAATGGTACCTGTACCTTTTTGACTTCTCCATCCCAGTGTTTGCAAGCCTGTGCACAGTACATGAACTCCTAACTGTGTCTCAAGCACTTCAGGCACCTCTTGCCTCTGCCAAAGCCCTTCCTGATAGATGCAAGCTATGTCTCGAAACGGCCGCTCACCTCGAAGAGCGCCTCTGCCAGCGCCACTATCCGCGACATGCTGCCCCGGTCGGGCCGCCCGGCCCCGGTGCGGGCAGCCCCCGCATCTGCCCCCCCTTCACGCGTGGCTCGCGCTGTAGCGGAGCTGGTGAAGGCGGCGGCGCGGCTACTGCGGCTGGCGGCAGCACTGGGGGAGGGACCGCGGCCACCCCCCAAGAGGGCACTCCTGGATATACAAAAAGACAGTAAGCAGGCAGTGGAGCAATCTGAGAAGCAAACGGAAAAAGAAACACGCCTGCCGCACATTTAGATGCCATTGTGTTCAATCGGCACAGATGTGGATAAGAGCAAGCCCGTCCTGCGGCTCTGTACCTGAGCACCTTAGAACACTATTCCATCATGTGTGCCAAGACGCTACACCTTCGTACACCCTCAAGCTGTTGACTTCTGCATTGGCATTAGAAGTGTTCTTTAGCGAGCTTGGCTGCGGCGCTCCCTGGCTGCTCACCTGTACACGTTGGCTGTTCTGCTGCGTGAGCTGGCTCCCCCGCCGCCAAGCCGGCTGCCGCCTCCCGCTGTACGCGAAGGAGGGGGGCTGGGGGAGGGCGGACGGCGCGTCGGCCCTCCCAATGGCATTGATGCCGAGGAGGCAGGGAAGCGAAGGGGGCTGTCCAGTAACTGCAGACGAGGGCGGACTGTCAAGTCAGATCAAGGACCTGGCTCTTGGCAAGCTGTTGCCTAAGGCGTACTTCGAAAAGAATGGATTGCCAGGAATGAGATAGGTCACAGAAAAGCTGTGATTGCCGGTGCATCCCAGTCTCACGACGCAGCCACGCAGCATAGTGTGCTAGCGAGCATGCTGACCGCCTTCCCCAGTGACTGCCGCTTTGATTTGCAGATGGCGAGGTCCGTCTTCCCATGCTCACCTGTCGAGGGGGTGCCTGTACAAGCGGTCCGTGCCTGATGCTGCTCAGTGGGGGGGCTGTCCCGGTGGTGCTGCTGCTGCTGCTGTCCTGCCTATTCTCCCTACTGTCCTCTGTGCGCCGCGCAAACCACCCGCCCGCGGCCTCCTGCTCCATCTGTCGTGCTGTCCTGTCGTGCGGGGCCGCGCCCCCCTGCTGGGGTCGCGCCAGCCCGCTGCTGCTACTACTGGCCACTGACGCGCCCGGCGGCGCGGCCTCGGAAGGTGGTGCCCCCTGGTTGGCGGTGCTCTCCGGGCTGCTGTCATTCTCCCACGCTTGCAGTGCGTCACGGTCCCACCCGTTCCACGATGCTGACATGCGCTCGCTCTGCCGCTGCGACTTGCGGCCCCGGAAGAGCGGACCAATGCCGCCACCCTACAAAACAAGCTCGTCTTGTGAACCCCTGCCAAGAGTTTGGTAACCCCTGAGATTGACAAGCAAGAGAGCAGGATAACTGGCCAACTCACATAACTCTCCAATCATTCTCTAACAGATCTTTGTAATCAATTGTAGAAACATATAATCTTTCAGAACTTCGGTGACTCGGGGAACTAATCAAAGGTGGAAACAATCATCCTGCGCCCAATTCAAGACGCCCCGGATGCCGCACCTGTGGCCGGTGGCCCTTGTCCGTGCTTCGCGTGCTGGGGCTGCTGTCGCGGCTGCTGTAGCTGGAGGGGCTGCTGCCATACTGAGTGGGTGTGCCCGGCCGCGGGGGCGCCCCGCGCTTTGCGTCCTCCTCGCTCAGGCTGCTGCTCTCAGCAGAGGCCGACCCCGCAGGGCTGCCCGGCCCGTCCTCCCACCCCGCCAGCAGGGTGCGTCGCTCGGGCGGCGGCCGGGCCGCTTGCGAGGGTGGGTAGCTCAGGATGCTGGCGGGGGCCTCTTCGAGCAACCACAGCGGGGCCCCGCAACCCAGCGGGCTGGGGGGTGGCGCAGCAGACAGGAGAGCAGGCTGTGGCTGATTCAGAGAGGCAAACGGTAGCGGCAGAGATTGGCTGTATGGCAGTACGTTCCCCTGTGGCCGAGTGTATGCTGCCGCATCACTGGTTGGCTCCGACTGCTCGCCCGAAGCGCGGACCGGCTGCAGAGGGGATGCAGCGTCCTGCATCGGAGCTCGCTCGTCCTCTACGGAGCTGTGCGGCCCCGGTTTGGACCCTGGCGCATCCTTGGTGGGTGCCCCCGTCTCCCCGTCCTTCCGAACACCGGTGTCCTGCGGGCTGCTGCTGTAACTGGGAGAAGCATGAACCACCTTCCCTGCAGCTTTGAGAGAGCGCCACCGCGAGAAGCGCCCCAGCCTCGCCCGTGGTTCCGCTCCGTCCTCCCCTCCAGAGCTGGGCGGGGTATCAGGCAGCCGGAGCAGAGAAGGAACGGCGCGGGGGACACTGACAGGGGCGGAGGAAGAGGAGGAGCCCTGCCTAAGAGCAGTCAGCGACTCTGGCGCAGCAGGGGAGGCCTCGGAGGTGCTGCTGCCATCAGGGTCGTCTTCGCTCCTTCTCCGGCTAAACCGCCTTTTGATAGACCGCCAGAAGTGGCGCCTGGCCGGCCGCGCAGCCGGGCTGGACTCCGAGGAGGATGACGTGTCCATGGCACGCTCAGGGCCAAGCGAGACGGCCATGGGGCCAGAGCAATCCTACGGGCGATGTGAACAAAGAGGAAGCTCTTCTGGACCCCCTAGGCATCTCTTAGCGACCCTCTTGGCGAAGACACCAACTCAAATTGCGTGGAGTGAGGCGTCTATCCACAGCCAGGCCCCTGTTGGGAGATGCTGTCTCGTTCAGACAGAAGTGCGGCGCCAAGATGCCATGTTTTAAATGAATTTGATGGCAAATTGATGGTGGCTGCCCTGACTATTGAGCTGCGCCGTCGTCGCGCCGAGTCTCTGCAGAGGAGCGGTCGCAAGTAGAAAGCGGCAATTATCACTTTCACGACCAGACAAGAGTTGAGACAACTCGGCACCAGCAAACAGGGATTCTAAAGAGGACCCCACGCGGTTTGCAATGGAACTTGGAAGTGTCATCGCAAAGAACCTTGTTCACCTGATTTGCTGCATTGCCAGCACCGCCAGCAGCCTGCTGATTCCAGAACGGAGGCCCCAGATCGAGTACCTACTCAGCTGCCGTTCGCTGCATTTGGTGCCAATGCAGGGTGCTTGCTTCTGAAGGAAGCAGAACGACTTCAAAGATCGATGAGCTGGTCATGGACACCCGTTGAATATATCGCAAGAAGGGGGGCCTCACACTGATATTTCTGGTGGTAGTGGGTGAATGAAGTGCACCCTTTTACTTGATGCTGCTGCCTGGGAAGGTCAGACATACGGAAGGAGCTCAAGGGCAAAAGCGTCACAGATTGTGGTTCGCTGTGTACAGCGCTGCTAGGCGGCCTGTTAGCAGTTTCACATGGTAAGTCCATCGTGCATTCGCAAAGTGGCCATTGAGCCCCTTCTGCTTTAGACATGAGTACCTTCAAGGTGGTTCAGATTCCTCTCAAAAGCGGCCACAGTCCGCTGTCCTGTTCGATCCCCACTAAGGCTGCTTGTTGCTGCAGGAGGGCGCGACCGGCACGACGGAGCGGGAGCTCGAGGTGTCTGCCAGCTTCACCTTCCAGCGCGAGGGGCGCGCGGGGGAGGCGGCGCTGCAGCAGTGGCGCAAAGAGATCCTGCGCAATGAGAAGCGCGACGTGGACCTCATGCAGAGCACCCTGTATGAGGGCATCCAGGAGTGGGCGCGCCAGCACCACTCGGACGAGCGCGCGGCCGGCAAGAGCAGCAGGGTCACCATCCAGGGGGGGCAAATCGTGCAGGGCAGCCAAAGTAGGCCACACCGCTCCTTGCATGGTCTGGGCACCCGCAGATGCGCCAGCTAAGCAGTACTAGTAGTTTTGTATGAGCTGTCCTGCCAACATGTCTGTGCACCTTTGTCTCCTTGTGTCTGCCCCTGCTCTGCTGCCGAACCTCCCCCGTGGCTTCATACTCACGCTGTGTCTCTGCCAGAGAACCCGCCAGTGAGGCTGCTCCCCGTCGCGGGCATCCCCCCCTACACCTTCTGGACGCTGGCGGTGCGCAACTTCAAGCCTGTGCACGAGGGGGACAAGCTGGGCCTGGTGTATGGCGAGGGGGGGGAGGCCACGCTGCTGCCGGACACAGAGGAGGGGGAGACGGAGGGGGAGGATGCAGGGGAGGGCGCCCCCCAGCACGTGTTCACAGAGGTGGAGGACCACCAGGTGTGGGCCACCTGCCAGAAGCACGGGGCGGGCTCAACAGTGCTCAGGACGCTCGCGCGCCTGGTGCTGCACGCCACCGACGAGGAGGACCCCTCCGAGGAAGAGGAGAAGGTGAGATGAGGCAGGCAGGCAGTGTGACTTAAGCAAACTGTGTTGGGGACGGCAGGAGCGAATGGCATTGGAGAACAGCGCCCCGTGCATAGGGAAGGCCCCCCGAGGTGGATGCACTTGTTGCCCAACTTGAGGTCTGTGCTTCCAATTCCCAAATGCTCTTCCAGAAGCTGACGTTAGGCGCTTGCTTGCAGCTCATTGCGGCGCGCTACAAGTGGCTGCTCACCGCTCCCCCGCTGCGCATCAGAGAGTACATTACGTCGTGGAATTTTGGAAAGGCTGATCTGCGTCAGCTTGGGCGGGAGGTGGCTCCTGAGCCGGCCTCCTCTAGCAGGGGCGCGGGAGCCCGGGACGTGGACACCCGAATGACTGACGCAGGGCCGGCGCTCGAGTGGGAGCCGAGTGACCTCAAGACGGGCCTGTCGACCTTTGAGAACATCTTCTGTCGCCGCTGCTATGTAAGTTCGGCGCTCTTGTCTCCTTGCAACGCGCCTCTCCGAGGTGCGTTTCACTGCATGTCTTCTTGAAAGCCATCGCACACCCATTCCTCGCATTTCCCGCGAATGCTGCCGCAAGCCATCCGTGTGTGCTCCGCTGCTCCCCGTCCTCTCTGACTCACCGTCCCATGTGCAGGTGCACGACTGTCATCTGCACGGAGTCAAGGAGAAGGGCGACCCGTGTCTGGATCCGCTGGCCAACCAGCGACCTGCATCAACGCCGCCCGCCACAGGCCTGGAGATGATGCAGCCGTGCAGCTCGACCTGCTACTGGAGCAGCCGGGCACCCGGGTGGGACCGACCAGAGGAAGGGCAGGACACTGGCGGAGCAGGAGGTGGGGTGCGGCCAGACGGGGTGACGGGGAGCGGGCAGCCATCCGGAGAAGGGGGAACGAATGCGGATGCACAAGGCAAGGCTACCGAGAGGAGCGAGGAAGTTTATGGAAAGGGAGGAGTGTCGGACAAACAGGGTGCCGGCAGCAGCGGGGATGGGCAGTCCAACACCGGTCAGGGGCATGAACGGGGGGAGCGACCAGAGGTGAAGGCTTGTGCTGCGGAGTGTGTTCAGACTTTTTGGGAGGCAGCTGATGCAGATGGTCTGATGCAGCAACGGTGTCTTTGTGGACAAATCAGCATCGTTGTGGAATCGAACTTTAGCAAGGCACAAAAGACAACTGCTGCGAACAAGCCTGGTTGAATGCCCCAAATCAGTCCAGGTAGTCAGGCTTGGACGACTTCTCCTTCCCTCTAGTCGAGTGCCAGCGGTGGCAGCCTGCTTCCCGGTGCCCTACCGACAGCCCCGTTCGCTTCTGCATCCGCAGGCGGCGGCGCCTCTCTCGAATGAAAAGGTGGGGCGGGACGCGGAGGGGTGGAGCCGCTTCCAGGTGGGCCTGTTCGAGCAGGGTGTGCGCATGTACGGCTCACACGGCAGCGCCTGCCGCGTTGCACGCCTCCTCCAGCCCGCGCGTACCTGCGCCGAAGTTGCGCACCGCCTGAAGCGGCTCAAGCCCGCTGCGGCCGTGGCAGAGGCTTCTGCAGCAGCTGCGGACCCGGAGGCACCGGAGAAGAAGGAACAACGGAAAAGGGCGAAACACAACAAGTGAGCATGGGCAGCTGGTTGCGAGATCTGCGGCCCTGCACAGCGGAGGCGGTGTGCAGATTGCGGGTTGTTCCTTCCGTCCTCCCTTTTGTTTTGAGCCGCATCGTATGCAATAGTTCCGGATTTTGCTATTCGACCTTTTGTCCTCTATTTTCAGCCGGAGCCCCTTAACCGTCCTTTTCAGCCCTCAAGCGCGGAATGCTGACCCGGCTGCTTTGTTGGATCAGGCCGTTGATCTGCCTCGCACGTCCATTCTCCTCAAGGATGTATTCGTTCTCTAATGTTATCCAATTACTGCTATCTCGACTTCCTTCTCGTCGTCTTCTCACTTTTGCCGTCGGCCGCTGCAGCAAGGTGAACGTGCTCCACAAGCTGGCCCGCAAGCGCAACGCGGACAAGCTGCGCCGCGAGGGCGACCTGCAGGGCCGCCTCAAGCTGGCGGCCTACACGCCGTGCGCCTGCACCGACGGCTGCGACGACGGGCCCGACTCGCAGTGCCCCTGCGCGCGCGCGCTCACGCCGTGCGAGAAGTACTGTGCGTGCCCGGGCAACTGCCACCTCAAGGAGGGCCTCGGCTGCAAGTGCACCAGCAAGTGCACGCAGCGCAGCTGCCCCTGCCTCGCCGCGGGCCGCGAGTGCGACCCCGACCTCTGCCACGGGTGAGCCCACGCACGGGGCGTTTCAAAACAAGGGATAGGATGCAAATCCGGCAGGGTTCGGTCGGCTCCGTCTCAGCAGTCGGCAAGCCGTGTTTCAGAAACTTCGGAGTCCGGGCCGTCCATGGCTAAAGTTGCGGCATGTAGGTCACGTGGCTTCTTGCCATGCTGTCTGGCCGTCCATTTTTACCCCTCCTCGTTTTCCCCCCCTGCTGTTCTGAGTTTTGCCCCCTGTGCTGTTCTCAGGTGCATGGTCAGTTGCGGCGACCCGTCATCCCCGGCCGCCCACGTTGGCGAGCCGAACCCGCACCGCGCGCACGCGCCCGACTCGCGGCTGGACCAGTGCGGCAACATGCGGCTGCAGCAGCGGCGGCACAAGAAGATCCTGCTGGGGCCCTCCGAGGTGGCGGGCTGGGGCGCGTTCATCTGCGGCGGCGCGCAGGCGGGCGAGCTGCTGGGCGAGTACACCGGGGAGCTGGTCACCGACCAGGAGGCGGAGCAGCGCGGCCGCGTGTACGACGCCAACAACAAGAGCTTCCTCTTCCAGCTCAACGACCAGGTGACGCACGCCTGCCCGCGCACTCCTTTCGACTTGGTCCCAGGTTGCTGCCATCCCCGATGACGATGCACCTCGCGCAGATCCTAGTGAGACAGCACGAGCGTTGCTTGGGGTAAAAGTCGCTTTGCTAAATGTGGTACTCTGTGATGCTGTTTGGAAGCGCAAGACTCGGACATTGGTTATTCTGACCTGTGGGTGTCTGCTTCGTGCAGTTCATTCTGGACGCATGCCATAAGGGAGACAAGCTCAAGTAAGTTTGAACGTCATGCTGAAGCGCTTCTCAAGAAAGAAGCAGAGAAAGGGAGGACGGAGTGTCTGGATCACGTTAAGATCTGTTGTCGTTTGCTGCACAGGATTCGAAGGCAGTTCCGATGAGAGCAACCGCTTCCAGCCAGCATGTCTTCCAACTGTCGTGCTCCCGGAAGGTCTTCTCTGGTGAACAAGGTTACGTTGTACGTGCTGCAGGTTCGCGAACCACAGCCCCGCGCCCAACTGCCGGCCCAAGGTGGTGTCGGTGCTGGGGGACCACCGTGTGGCGATCCACGTGGAGCGCAACATGGAGTCGGGCGAGGAGATCTTCTACGACTACAACTACACCGAGAATCAGGCGCCTGACTGGGCGCTCACGGAGGCGGACAAGAAGCGTCGCGAGCGGGAGATGCAACCGATACGGAAGGCCACCAAGAAGGGGACCAAGAAGTGACGCGGGGTAGCGTCCATTTGCTGCGATCTATGGTATGCTGTCAACCAAGAGGTGCTCGTGGAATTAATTGTACGTCTGATGATACACAAGAACACGACATTGATCAAATATCTTGGCGAAGAGGTAACTTAGGAAGCTTGCAAGCTCGCACAGGACCATTTTTAACATATTGAAGCCGGTTAAGCAGCGTCCGGTGACGTAAAAGTATTCAGCTCACCTGCCCATAAAGGAGCCTACGCGTTCGTGATGGTTCATGCCCATCTTGTCAACTTACAAAGCCAACGTGTTCCACAGTACTCGCTTCGGCCAATGATTGCGCTCCGATATAGAGCTAAGGTAGCTCCCTTTGTTCCAGTTCAAAAATACTTGCATGATCATTATAATTACAAGGTAACGATATATAAGGGAAACAATGAAACGCCATATGCAGGGCCGTCACTGAAGCTGGTATATTCATGTGCACCGAAGGACCAGATTGTTCCGGCAATTCTCCACATACCGTATGTGTTGCAAATTGCATGTACCATGTCAGAGCTGTCGATCAATCTATAGTCGAATCGTTTAACTCGATATACAAGTGCGCGGCACGCTGGTGCCCACTGCCATCATATACTAATTTATGTAGGATATGGTTCGGGGCCGCGCGTGCTCATATATTTGTCATGATATCCCGGCAACGGATACGTACTGATACGCAATTACGCTGCCAGCCAACATATAGCGGACAATCATACCCAATGATAAACTGGGTTTGACGGCGCTCTCTTTGTATGTCGCAGATCGATTGAACAAGTCCATATCGTTGTCGCCATGATCTAAAACCTTGGCTTAAGGTGTTGTAGTCAACTAGATGCATGCACGCTTATCATTGCTGGACTCATCAGGCCGTAGCAGGCTCAATTCAGTCGACGAATAACTAAAGACGGTGACTTAAGACGGCCGCTGACAGATTGCTTTGACAGATATCAGCTAGACTCAAAACTGCGAAGGCTGTATGGGGGCCCGCAAAGCACAGCGGACGAGTCCACCGCCTTCCGCATCAACTTCCAGTTGCAAATCAGATGCGATAACTGCAAGGTTTCCTGATGTCCGCAATAATGGAGAACTCATTTGTTGGCATTCTTGGCTCGAGCACTAGGCGACCTCTACGGCAACAATTGAAACACCTTACACCTCCAGAAAGTCCTCTATTCGAATCTCTAGAGCCGAGCATGGGGTCTGGATGTCGAAGTGTTCCAGTACCTGCATACGGTTTGTAGCGACCATCTGTCAGCAGACACTAAGGTACGTACAACAAACCTGCCAACCAATCACGCTTGAGATGCAACAAGGAGCGAAAAGGTACACGAGGAGGAAGCCCTATTCCTTTGGGGTCACTTCTTCTCCATAGTCTATAGGAATAGAGCGCCTTGACCTACCAAGCACTGAAGGGCTATCATCGAGGCCTCGATAAGACGATCGGCTGACCAATCCGCTTCGAGCGGCCTGTTGGCGGGCACGCTCCTCAGCACCAAAGCCCTGCCACGTGGCTGCTCTCACCTCTGGATGGATGATCCCGAAGGTGCCTATGTGCTTTTTCCGGTAGAACACGTCCGCCTGGCGCCCTGGGAAGAAGGTGGGCGCGCTCGACGGCCGGATGACGTAGTCCCCCGTCTGCGCTGCGGCCGCGAGGTCCACCCCGACCATCTCCAGCACGCGGTCCACCAGCCCGTGGATCACCTGTCGCCCAACCAAAAACCGACACGTCAGCATGGGCGCGGTCTGCCTCCCGGCCCCGCAGGCACTGAGTATGTCGGCTTTCAAATCGACACGTCAAACCTCTCCAAGATTAAGAGCCTGAGTAGCAGCGCAACCCACTTCGAGGGTGACTAGGCAGGGGCGTTTGATTTGTCCGCAAGTCAAGACCTGTGGCGCTTGTTCTCGGGAGGCGCCACAATGGTGCGGTTGTGGGGGGGCGGACGGCTCACTTCGAAGCCGGAGGTGAGGTTGGAGTGGAGGGCCACCAGTCGCCGCTCATTGCGCGCGCCCACCTCGTGCTGATCGTCCAACAACACGACGTCCGAGATCTCAAACAACTGCAAGAAACAGAGGAGATAACCCTTAACGCAAAGATCAGAGGCGCTCGGCCACCTGCCGAACGGACACGTAGGCATTGTATGCATCAGGAATGGCCAGCCGCGCGGCCTCTCGTCTAAGCGACAGCGCACCTTGAAAAGAGGGGTGTGCACATCACTCATGACCGAAAGCGCGGCCTTTTGTCATCGATTCAGCGTACCTTGATGGGGAGAGGCGCGTCTTTGTTGCTGCCGACCGTCTTGAGCAGGCTGGGCAGCAGGCTGCTTCGTGCGAGCTGCGGAGAAGCGGGGAGCGGACGTCAGTGGCCAGGCTCGAGCAAACTCAAGAGCAAATTCCTAGGAAGCAAACGATAAGTGAACCATTGGCGCCAGCTCTGCCGCACCATCAACTTCGTTTCACCATCTTGCGTTTAGATTCGTCGAACAGAATAGCCCGATGCTGTGGACATTGGCCCAACCAAAAAATCAGTGACTGTTATCCTGGTCATTTTCGTAGGCCATAACGTGCTCCAACCTACACCTTGGAAGCGTGCCTGGCTCCATTCTCGATACTGCCACCAGACCTCTCTTGACTCGTTATGCTCCGCCGAAATACTTGCCTTCCCGTGCAAAAAACCGTCTTTTAAGGCAGAGCGCTCACCTCGAAGTCTGCTGAGCGCGGGTTGCCAACGATGACTGCGGTCTTCCCGTCGTCGCGCAGGTTCATGGCCGCAAAGTTTTCTTCGTGGCTGTGCAGCACCCACGTCAGCACCTCCGTGAAGCCCGCCAGCGCCACCTGCACGCCGCCCAGCCCGCACGTGTCAGCCCAGAGCACGGGCCGCGAACCGCTCTTCTTTTCTAAGGCGCCCTCTGCTGCTCCAACTGACAACACCCCTAATTGCTTCAATGATCGCCGGTGACAATTTACCCTGTGACACACGCAAATTGAGCTAAGCCGACAGCAGCAGCTTATCTGAATATAGTCCCCAAGCAAGAGCATATCCGTCGCATACCAATCCAACGTGCCTCAAGAATGCAGACTCTAGAAGGACGATGCCGTCGGCGACCGTACCTCGAGCCGCAGCAGGTCGCTGAAGGCGTTGAGCGGCTGTTCCCGCCCCACCGTCGAGGCAGTCGGCCGCGTTTTGGGGATGTTGTTAAAGCCGTGAGCGATGGCAACGTCCTGCACGCGCGCGCACCCACGTCAGCGGCACAGAAAAGGCGCAGACTACAGACCGAGGGATGAACGCAATGACAAAAGATTCGCACGGCAAAGGCTTTCTCATCGAAGGCATGAAGTCCAAGACGGGCCACAGAATAGGTGGACATGGGTGGGCAGAAGGGGTTGTGAACTAAGTTGCACACGTTTTCAAAGGCTGTGCCACTTGAGGAGACACACAAGGATTGCTGATGTATGCGTTCAAGCATCAGGCTCCATGCTGGACGCTTCCATCTTCGCTACGGCCCGCCCCAACTGTCTTCACTTCCACTCTGTGAGTGAGGCCGAGTCCCGTGGGCGGGTGCTCACCTCCGCCACGTCGACGGGGTGCAGGATGTCGCTCCTCTGGGGGGGCACGTGCACGCGGAGCTTCCCCTCGGGCAGCACGTCCGTCTTGAGCTGCATGCGGTTCAGCAACGTGCCCACCTGCACAATTGCCCCACCCGCAGTCAGCGGCCATGCTCAGGCTCCATCCCTGGAAATACTTTCAATCAAGCCCTCTATCGACTACTACAGCTTAATGAGGCGGCGTGTGACCCGCAACGCCCTGGCAATCGAGTAGGGCGTGCCAGTATTTGGATCACAAAACGCGGTCTCACGTGGTCATTTTCTCCGGGACCAAGAGGAGGAGTTGGTACAAAGAGACTGCCGTGTCGCCACGTGATTGGACGCCTCTTCAAAGCCACCATGCTGTTGATGTTGCACAGTGCTTTCCGAGAGTGGACCAGACAAGAAATATCTCGATTGTCCCCGTTTCGGAAAACTTCGTATGGCGCTGCTTCACCTGGTTCGGTTGCAGGTCGAGGCCGATGTATTTGTTGACGTAGTTCGTGTCGGTGGCCACCACGTACTCTGCCAGGTCCGGGTACAGCCGCACGCTCCCGCTCGCGTCCTGCACCTCCACCGGCTCCACCGCAAACTTGTCCGCACACAGCTCCGAGAACATGGTTACCTGCAATCAATGCAAGCGCACCTCAGGCAAACGCCAAGTCTGCACCATCGAGCGGGGAAAGATAAAACATGGAGCCGAAGCGACTGAGTGCAGAACGGGCGTTGGGCGTTGAGGCTTAGTGAAGGAGCGACGCTGCGTCACTGGGGTGACCGAGGAATGAAGGGTTTTTACTCAAAAAGAGTAAGAAGCTTGGCTACGCAGAAAGTTGGTCGAAGAAGGCCTATCTTGAGATTTCCACCATGATGACAATATGCTAAACAGACTGACAAACCAGGGTCAACGTGAATACAACTGATCTGTTGACCAGGTTTAACAGAATTGCTTATTCTCCTTCGCATTGTTATCGCGGTTGTTCGACAAAAATCATTTCTACAGATTCGAGATGCCTGGCATGGTGTTGAGCCGTGACTGACCATGGTGTTGAGCACGATCTTGGCCTTGGTGAGGTCAGTGGCGGTGCACTCAATGAACACGTTCTTGGTACGCGTGCTGATGGCGGAGTGCGCGCCGTTGATGATGGGGGGCAGCGAGAGCACCGTCCTACACAGCAACCAAAGAAGCTGTTCAACGACTTCTCAGCACCATCAGCATCAGGCGGTCCGTAGGCACGCTTCCCAAAGCAGCAAGAAACGTGTGGTCTAACGGGGGCAGCCTCCGACGCCTGACATGAGCCCATGAATACCCCTGCATTCGAACATGCGGACTCTAGTTTCGTCGGCGGGGTCATCGGGCTCTTGGAAAGACGGCGTCGCCGACCTCACGAACCAATTCAATGGCACCAGAGAAGCTTTGGCCGAGGAAAGCTCTGTACTACGCGACAGAAGCGTGCCCACTGACTGGAAGGCGGAGGCCGTCATGACTAACAAACAGTAAGGACCTCGGACCAGAAGCACTGTCCTTTCCCGCTTCAAAAGGCTTACGCGAGTATAAGGATGCCAAGCCGGGCGCGCACCTGTTGCTGTCGTAGATGACGGGGAACACGACCGAATCGCTGATGATGTGCAAGAACTTTTTGAGCTTGTTGTCGCTCTGCAGCAACACCGAACGACTCGTAAGCGCACTGTCAACCATGCCTTCTCGCTGTGCTGACGCTATGCTCTCAAAAGCATGCGACTAGAACATGTCCAAAATTGCGGGAACCTAGCGAATGCACAGCGCACCCTGTTGACGAAGTATGGAAGGATGACAGACAAGAAGAGGAGCGAACTGTTGGGGGCCGAAGAGGCTCGAACGGTCAAGATCTATTCATGCATCGACTGGAGCAGAGGAACGGCTTTTGCATCCTTTGGAGGCGCAAGCCAGCAACCATTCTTTGAGCTACTTGTTCTTGCTGAACCGAAGAATCACTGTAGTCACACGAGTGGGACCGAACGATGCATCCCCAATTTTGAAGTTCGAAGCGGCCCAATGGCGACGAGAAATGGCCCGAACCGAATGCTTGAAGCAATAATCTTCTTGCCAGGGTCGAAGCTTTTTACGAGACTCAAGCTCACCTGGTAGAAGGTCATCAACTCGGCTGCCGTAAACTCTTTCTTCTGCAAGGCCCGACCAAACAAGGTTTCAGAGCCCGCATTGGGAGACGGTGCTTGACATGCGCTGCACACTGTTACATCAGCAACGGGAAGAACCTTGTCTCGCCGCACGGTCTGATGTGCATACTGCAAACCAGGAAGCAAACGCAGACTCAATTCGAAAGGGTCCCTGTTGCCGTCACCTGTTTGAGGGGTACGAACTTGATGTCCGCTGGAGGAAGAGCCTGCACACAAAAGCCACGGCACCAAGTGAGAAACATAGGACTCACAGTGCGGGCAGACTAGGAGCAGACGGCGAACAAGTAAGGCAGTCTTTGCGTTTGCGCGTAAGCTGCAACCAGCAACCTCGGGGAACAAGCGTACACGAATCACAGCGCTCCCTGCTTTTCTGGGTGGCGAAACGACATGTAGCCTGCTTCCTTCTTGAATGGGACACCATGGTTGGGCAGAACCGGAGTCGTGAGTTGGCTGCGATCAGCGCAAAAGGTGCCCTACCTCATACGTAAAGGGCCCTTGCAAGGTGTCCAGATCATGTGTGCCAATGGCGACAAGGGAGCGCCGCCTGGACCGCAAATAAGTGGTGGCCCGTTCAGTGAGAGTCGCACACGAAACAACGACGGACATATCCCCCAAGGGAGAGAAGCCGAGATACTCGCAAGGCGTGTCAATCCCCAAGCCGCACCTGTTTTGCGCAACCTTGTCAACGAGAGTGGTCTCCGGCAAGTACGAGCTTGTTAACGTTGACGGAACGAATTGGTTATCTTTGAGTGGGTCGGAATCCTGCAAAAGTTACTGCTTCCCAATTGCGTGCTCACCGGCAGATGTTTTGGTGCAGCTTGTCCTGTAGGTCGATGAAGCTGGCGTACTGGGCATCGTCGAAGCTGACGCCACGCAGAATGGCGGCAACCACAAACGGCCGGATCAGGGCAGTCTGCAGAGATTAGCAACAGAATCCTCACAGGGTCGTTACACTTGGACCAGCTGCGATCGAAAAACATCTAGAGACCCATCAGCCGCAGGTCCGGCTGACCTCAGGCTGTAGAAAATCTTGATCGGGTTGCACGGAACCTGATGCCCCTCAAGTCGGGCACATTACAATCCGGCTCAACATTTGCCGGACCCCGACCCATTTTGGCACTTCCGGCAGCTGGCGAATGCGGGCAGTGTCATTTAACAGGGCATGTGCCCGAGCCTGATTGGGCTCAAGTTGTTTCGGTTGGACCCTGTCAACGCTTCAGTGTCACAACCCTGTCGGGCGATGCAACAATTCCTCTCAGAAAAAAGATAAGGCTCCCATGGTATGCATAAACAGCCTCATTTTTGGTATGCAGGATTTCTCGAACTCTCCCCCATGTGCACTCTGTGGAACAGACCTCCCCTTATTGACCGTATATGATAGCCCCCTCCAGGTTTGTCAAACAACGACCATAGCTAAGAGTGGTGCGTACCTCTGGGTGGACCACCAGTCTCTGGCGCCGGCCAGCACCTGGGTCAGCCAACCGGAAGACGGGCACCGGCTCCTCCCCCAGGAAGACGCGCAGCGCTCGGGAGAGGCCCTCTAAGCACAGGAGATCGTACCTGCCAGTAACAGCGAGCAGTGAGACTAACTTATTCAAGTAGGAGAGTGCTCGAAGACAAATGAGCGCTACAGACTGAGGAATCAAACAAACAGACTACTTTGACCAACCAGCTACTTGTAGACCATCTCTGCACTAGCCTGAACTGCTCGATCAGGGATTCTGTACGATGGGTGACAGCAGATCTTCCAGACAGCTGGTGGCACCTTACTAAGTCCCAGGGAAGCTTTTAGACACCCTAAAACTCTTCAGCTGATCTCGCAGAGCAGGGGCTCAACGGGGCACCCAAACGGAGCTGAGAATAGTTTGTGCCACCACTCCAATCAAAAGTAGAACGTGGTGGTAAGCCATCAGCTACCCATCTGACAGGTCCTTGTTGCTGACCACGATGCGAGTTCCCAATGACCTGCCGCCATACCTGTTTGCTGGTACATCAATCTTGTAGAGCACCTCATCGCTTACGTCCATCAACTGACTGTCTTCGAGCTTTTTCTCCTTCCGAAGGATGTCCTTCTCGGAGGTCTGCAATGCAGATGCGAAGGTGTCTGATGTTCATTTGATGTGATATGGAGACTTTCAAAAAAGCGCAAAAGATTTCTCTGTGTCTTCTGCAGTGAAGGCTGCAAGACTGGGGATTGATAACTTACCACATCATCAAGTTCGATTCCGAACTCAAAACACAACTCGTCGAACTCCTTCTCCGCTGCATCACGTAGAAGATAAGGTCAGCCTGAAAGTCACAGATGCACGATAAGATCCTGCCGTGCCCCCCTCAGATTCCCCACACCACCAATCTAGGAAATTGTTCGGAACAAACCTTGTCCCCCAACCACCAACCTGATGAGGGGGGCCAACCTGAAAGCTCAAACGAAGTCTGCTAAGCATTACCAAATACCACCTTTGCATCAGGGAAGCACAACGCACAAAATTGAAGCTTTAAAGTATGGCGAGGCAGACAGAAGACAAGTATATTTTGCTTGAAAATTCAATTGGTGGCAGCTTACAATAGTTGTGGCCCAATGCTGCATTGAGTTTGTCTCTTCCAACGCTGACCGTCGGCATTTTGCTTGAAGGGCTTCCTGAACAACTACTTTCTCTGCCAATGCTGCATTTAGTGGGAGGGTGGTGGGCCTAGGCGTTTACTGTTCCGCTGCTTCAGCGCTGCTTCTGTCCAAGTCTCAGCAAATAGACTTCAGCATTCAGCCTCAGGTTCATCTTGTGTTCAAGTCGACCATCTTGCCTTTATTAACTTTCGTTAAACCCTGCTGGGTTTTCAGCAAACCCACCAGGTTAAGTACCACTTGACTATAGACCTGTGGTTGAGCTAAGCCTACAGTGCTGCACTCGGTAGATTGCCAGAGAGGAGCTTTTGGAAGCGCTTCCAGTTCTGTAGGCTCTCAAACCTGTTGAACAACGGACTGCATTGCGGAAGCAGACTTCTGCATTCAGAGTCCGTTTTGGATCTCCCAAAGGGAAGGCGCAACGAGTAGCAATCATAGAAGCGGATGAGAGAGCAGGAAGCAATGGTGCTGGGCTGAGGAGACGGGCAATAGAGCAGGTTGTCTTCGCTACCTGTTTGCCAGCCAGCGCCGCGGTGGTCACTTCAACCAGCTCTCAGCAATGGCTGCCCTGCGTGCCCTTGCGAGCGGGGCAGGTTCCGCTTCATTCGATGAGGCTCGGGTCAAGAGCGTAGAGTTTTTCAGGGTCGTCTGTCGGTCACTGCCAAACTTGGTGGAGCTCTATAACCTGCACGATGTCACGACAGTTGCGGAGCTAAGAAGCAGGGCTGCACAGTTATTCCGGAGGCACGCTGGCGTCACGAATGCAAAGGTATGAATTGGTATGCAGCAGAATGTTGATCTTAACCTTGACCTTCACCGTGTGAGCTGATCAGATTGACGGGAGGTGCTGTCTACAATCCATTCCAAGGTTGCGAGAAAAGCAGGAGATGGGCCACCACTTGCTGCCCATTGTCAATATGTTTGCTGATTGAGACTACCAAGTGCGAAAATCATTGGTGGAACCCTCATTGCAGTTTTGCAAAACTCAGGCCAGGGTGAAGAGTGGCTGCTGATATATTGGCTCCTTTTCCCCTAGTCCTAAATGTCTCGTTCATTTGCACCAGCCAAAGGTAGCAAGTAAATATCACAAGTGACTGCGTAAGGTTGTGATCATCTGGACTGCTCTCAGTCGCTTCGTGCAGCAGATCTTCCGTTAAGCGCGGCTGAAATTATTCTCTCTTAACAGAAGATGCAAAGCATGCGCCATGCTATTGTTCTGCAGTGCTTGTGACAGTGCTTACAGTAAGCAAATGAACAGCAACGGGGTTGCTTTTGCAGGTGGTTGACATGCTATTGTATAAAGGGCAAGAGGAGCTGACCAACTTGGAGACCATGTCAAAGCAACGGCATCACATTCTTTCACGTAAGTTCTCCTCACTGCAATGTTGGGGCATCAAATATTCCATGGTCCCCCATCTGATGATCAGGAGCAGATGACGCCAGTTGCCGTTGCTGATCTGTAAAGCTTGCACAACATGCACGGCAAGGACAGTATTACACCTCAGGTCTTTCATTGAGGGGCATGAGTCTGTTCCAAAGTCGCTTTGCAGTGCAAGTTATTTATTGTGGCATCGTTCTGAATTCACTGCAGAGTACATTGTTGGGCCAAATTTGTCCATCCAAGCGAATCAAGTTGGGATCAGAAAGAAGGAAGGGGAGACGGAGTTCCTTCAGAGGTTTTATCTCACCAACTTATGAGAAACACATCACTATCGTGTCCAACTTTGGCTGCATGTGCTATTTTAGTACATTTGAAGATCATGCATCTCGTCGATGGACCAGTTTTCGAGGATGCCTAAATCCCGCGCCCTTGGCCTACTTAGGAGTGGCATATTAAATTCTAGAGGGCACAAATCTCAGAGCGAAGCCTTCGTGAAGCAATATCATACTGAGCTTCCGGCCTGCAAGAATACGTGATGATTGTCCATGGGAAAAGCAACAAGTCATTCTCTCACTTCCAACGGGAGTGCCGTCGAACTTGTGCGATTACAATAGATACATCAGAATCACATTCAAGTGCTCCACTGACATCGTCTGCTCGAATTGAAATTGAACAGTACATCTGTCTATATGCATATGATCGGATGGATTTGTGACAATCAATTGTGTTAGATCAGAGCGAGCGCCCTTGCCGCATCTGCTCTATGATTACCTGACCAGCGCACATGTTCAAAATCACCTAAGTATATATATTCGTGTTGTTATTTTTGTTCAGACAACTGGCATTGTTCCTTCGCGTGGCTACACACTTGTCGTGCATGACCATAGAATGCCATGCAGAGCTATCATAACATGTGCGCTAGCTGGCCATATCTGGCACATGTACGCAGCTCTGCAAAACCTGTACATGCATTCAATTTAGGAACCCATCAATTAAGCGGACAAATTTGCAAGCCATGGCCGCCACTGTATCATTCATTACCACCTCGTGAAAGATATACAGTACATGACGTATGAGTTATATACTTCTTAACCATACGTGAAGAGACCTACTAATGTATGCATCATGCAAGTTGGTCCGCGAATTCCACATGTGATACTAATTCAACATTTTAAAACATATTTTTGTGCCTAGCGTCCAGTTGCACAACGTCTTTACTCATCTTCAGGTTTTCGTGGGTTCAATCGTCACTCTCTGAGAGTTTCAACGATAGGCAGCAAGGAATCAAGTGCATCTGGGAGGTAGAAACATCCCAACCAAATGGCCGGCCTCATCCTACAACTACAGGAGTCTGCCCATTGAGTCTGTAATGAGCATAAGAGTAGTCAATGTACGTTATGCACTCGTCTTTGCGTTAACCCTTTTTGCAAGGCCATACTGGCCGCGTTGTCTCTTGCTGAAACGACTCGTACAAAACTTTTGGCTATTGGTGCTATCCACTCCACCGATCAGAATCATCCAAAAAAGAAATAGGTAGACTAAGGTCTACGCCTGGCTGAACTGATTGGTGCGGAACACTTGCACTAGGAGGTAGCTGTTCAGAAGTACGATGACAATTGCCAGTAGAATGGCCAGGAGTTTGACGACAAGGCCGTTGACAAACTTGCCCATCAATTCTTTCGAACTAGTGAAATGAACCAGGGGCACCACCGCGAAGGAGAGCGCGAGGGACAGCACGACCTGACTCAGCACCAGGAGCTTGCCCGAGGTTCTCTGCCCCCCCACGCCAGCCACTATGCCCGCGGGTATGATGGCGACCAGGCGCGTGAGCAGGCGGCGCAGCCACGGCTTCATGCGGATGTTGACGAAGCCCTCCATGACGATCTGCCCCGCGAGCGTGCCCGTGATGGTGGCGTTCTGGCCGCTGCACAGCAGAGCCACCCCGAACAACACCCGCGCAGCATTCTGTCCGACTGCCGGGGCCAGTAGCGAGTACGCGCTGTGGATGTCGACATCCGGGTAAGGGTTCACCGTGTAGAAGAAGGCTGCGGCCGCCAGGATCAGGATAGCAGCGTTAACGAAGAACGCCAGGCACAGGGAGATGGTGGAGTCGAGCGTGCCGTAGAGGACAGCCATGCGCTTGCCCTGTGTTGTGCGGGGGAAGTTGCGGGTCTGGATGATGCTAGAGTGGAGGTAGAGGTTGTGGGGCATGACCGTGGCACCCAGGATCCCCAGGCCAATGTACAGCTGGTCCGGGTTGGTGATGATGGACGAGTGGGGGTACAGCCCCGTCGCCACCTTGGCCCAGTCGGGGCCAACCGCAGCGAGCTCATACGCGAAGCAGCCCGCTATGGTGGCCACCAGCAGGAAGATGAGCAGCTCAAAGAGGCGGAAGTTGTGCAGGCCCACGAAAAGGATGAAGAGCACGTCCACGGACGTGATGAGGACGCCCGCCCACAGCGGAATGCCAAACAGCAGGTTCAGAGCGATGGCGGACCCAATGACCTCGGCCAGGTCGGTGGCAGCAATGGCCACCTCTGCGATGACCCACAAACCGTAGTTCACCCAGCGGGGGTATGCTTCTCTGCAAGGAGAAGACACCGCTTGTGGTTAGCAGACAATTCAGAATGAGGACGAAGCAGTGAGACAGAGGAGGACAAGCAGAAAGCAAAAGAGGAGGGGCTTGCTTTTGCACCCAAGCTATCATTTCCGACGCACGACAAAAGAATGTCCACCTCAACATTGTCCCCGTTTGGTGAAGAGTGCATACCACGTTTTGCTGCCACAATAGCGAGCATGTCACCATCAGGAAACCAGACCACTAGCTACAGACCAGGGAATGCATTGACCTTGAAGCAGCAAACAGCAGCCAAGTTCTGCAGCAGCCTCACCTACAAGCTTGCGCCAGGTCGCGCTCAGTCACCGCCCCTAGCTTGAGCGCCAAATGTTGAAGGAACATCGAAAAGATACTTGAGAGTAGGATCACAAAAAGAAGCGTGTATCCAAACTGCGCTCCACCACTTAAGTCGGTGGCCCAGTTGCCTGCAGGCGCAGAGCAGAGTGCTTGAGAAGCAAGTTTGTGAAGCGCAGGGGTTGCTGGAAACTTCCACATTGCTGACCAGCGGCATGAAACCAACTTGAGCAGAAACCTGGCTGATAACTTGACAAATGCACATCTCGATTGCAATGTGACCTCGCGCAGTGGCTCTGAATGCTGGCGCGTACCTGGGTCCATGTAGCCCACACTGATGACGAACCCCAGGCCTGCAAATGCTTTCAACTTTGCGTGCCAGCTCCCTGTAAGTGGTGGCACCCTCACTGAAGAGTTTACTTCCTCAAGGGAGGGCGCCCCTTTTACTGTCCGCCAACCATAATGTTCTGTCCGAGCTAACTGCCCTGTTTCTATGAAAACGGCCTCGTGTGTGGGCTTCTGCTCTTCTGCTGACTGTGGAGGACCCACTGGCGCAAATGCCGCCTCCGCGACAGACGGGCGAGGCGGGGGGGTGACTTCTGGCGTCATGCTAAACTGCAGGAAGAGAATACAATAATGTAGATGCAACCCAAACAATGAGTACGTTCCCTGCAGCGCCGGGCCCCTTTTCAAGCTGGTTGACACCACATTCAGTATGACACCAGCTCAGAGAGTGCAGAACTCACATTTGACGCAGATTATCTTACATCTTGCAAGAAGGTCTGCATACCGCTTGCACGAAGGAGGATGGTCAGCACAATTCCTTCAAGGGTTTTCAAGACATCGTGCAGAACAAGATCCAGGATAAACACTCCAGACCATCCATCTACCTACAGATACAACGAAGGATGAACCTGCTGCAAATAGAAATCATAGATGTGATCGAGAGGAGAACTTACGTTTATTGCGTAAGCAACACCCTGATCTGCTGGTGGAAAGTGGTTGAAGGAGCTTGCAACCGCCGCCCTTGCACGCCTCCAACTGACAGCCCTTCAAGCAGCAAGCACCAAAGAAGGAGCTGAGAATCTTTTAAGAGACCTGGAGAATACAGCTATTACTTAGCGGCAGGGGCGACTCAACCGCACAATACAAAACATCGCCTGGCAAGGCGCCTTCTCATGGATTTCGAGCTCTCCTCAAGCAAGATACCGTAGCCGTGTGTGCACAGACGGTACGTCGTCGGCCATTGATGACTCGTCAACCAAGTTGGTCATCTGGTGCGCGTTCGGGACCCGGGTCGAGTCTCGACCAATGCTTTCGTCATCGTAGTTTACCGGGTGACGTTGACATAAAGCATCTTCAAACCCATGGTCGGCTGACAAAGCAAACCGGTCAGTTCTTTGGCCTCTTCGACCCAGAAGGGCCGCCCGGATAGTTCATTTGCAGGCCCGGTTGATGTATCCCCCGTATATACTGGTACCTCAGACAGACGTCACCGTGTGATGGCGTCACTACCGGATGGTAGGTACCCAACTCTCAACATCGTCGGCGAGTCATCGGGGAAACGTGATTGGCTCCGGGAGTCCCGTTCAACTTCACACATGAGCATTGGGCGTGACTCTGTACTACCGTACCGCCAAGGGAATTCGCCACCTTTTAAGTTTTGGTGCGAAAAGTTATTTTCGTTCGTTTTGAGGTTTCACCCGACGCGTTGAGAATTTATTTTACATTCCGCACAAAGGATTTTTTTTGCTTTTTCTGCCTTACAAAACAGGACTTTTCGCCATTTTAAGGTAATTCTCTAGTTTCGCCTTTTCGCAGTTAGGGTAACATTTACTTTCTAACTTTTCGCACCGACCCCAAAATATTTATTTTCAGGCGATTTCCCTTGGCGGTACGGTACCTACCTACCTAGCTTTGGATTATGAAAGATTCTCGCAAAGGCTTCTCAATTTCAGAGCCGTCGATACCTAAATGACAATGCTGCATTTGAAAGTACCACGTCAGCTACTTAATGGGGGCGCTCGTGCCCGTACCCAGCCAGGATCTTTGGTATCAGAATTCGAACGTCAACTCAAAGCGTTCAGGCTTTCAAGTTTCAACCCTAATGATGCATGATTTGCCTGGCGCTTGCAGCGGAAAGCATGTAGCTGTATGCCATTGACGAAGAGAAGATTATATGCAGGTCGCAATAAATAGAGCATGCAATGATGCAATTCCGTTACAAAAGTTCCTAAGGCGTCATGCATAGGAATTTTCGTAGATAAATTTTGAGTGGCATGCATATGTAATGAACAAGCTGAGCGGAGGTTCCTAGTACCTCGGTAAACAAGCCTTGCAAAAGCAACCTGAAGTTTAAACGGTCTCTTGAAAACGATCAAAATCCTTTGAAATCAAGAGCAGAACGTAAAGCGGATTATTGCATTGAAGTCCAACGTTTGGACAACAATGGGTCGCAACCTGGCATGTGCATTGCATCGAAAACATCACCGCTACAATTAAGTGCTTGCTTACCCGCTGTAAAAGAAAACGACACCTTATGAATGGCTATGACAAGTCAGCAAACGCTGATCCTTTTGAAAAGGCAAGGCGAGTGACTCAAGCCAAACGTTCTTCCCATGGGCCCAACCTTGGCAGCATAATATGAATGTTCAAGACCTCCCCAACCGCTCCCAGTAGATGCGAGAATCAAGCGCCAGCAGTGGCTATCAAAACCGCTTTTTCTCGTAGGATACCAGACCGTGTACCCCGCCCTCAACTTGCGCAGCCCCCGTCCGCGTCTGTACCCAAAAATGGGCAACCAATCAAGCTGTGCAACAACTTTGTTATGCATGGACCGACGCCTCTCTGAAATACTCCTAGAGCAAGCCGTGCAGCACTTTGCTGCAAATCAATCACGACTCCCCTCGTGCCACACAAATGATAGGCAAAAAAAAACAGCATCAGTCAAGACGAAGCAGTCTACTGGTCCAGTATGCCAAAGCTTCCACAGTTGCTCCCTTCTCGTGTACAGATCAGCGGCTGAATTCAACAGTGCTGACTGCAGATTTCTGTTGAGAAACAAAAGTTTGCAGGGGACGGCTTCACTCAGCGCCTGCTGGGCATTACTTGCTGAGGTCTAGCTCAGAAGAGACGGCTCGCTTCATGCAACTTTGGCGGCATCGCACTCACCTCGCCCCTAATCTCTCCGTTTCGCAGCATGGCCCACACGCCGGGAAGATCGCTCGCCCCGAGGTCCTGCACCGTGGACAATGTCAATCAGTCCCGCTGATGTCGTCGAGACTCTAGCGTCCCACAATTTAGTACAGTCCACCGAGTTGCACGTCGTATGAACAGAAAATACAACTGCTAAGCAACGCCGCGACAAGAATCTGCCGTTCACATAAGTAGACAGCCAGATCTGACGCTAGCCAATTTGGCCGCTCGTGCCTACGTTGATAATATTCTCAGCCACGCAATGTACAGTCGAGCAACATGTCCGTGACCATCTTCCGTGAAACCGATCAAGGCCAGGACTCCATAGCCCGATGACATGAGGAGGGCGGGGTTCTGTCCGGCCAGTGCGGGCCTGCGCGGCGGCCTCACCTGGAAGCCTTGCTTGACGGCGTGCATGGTGTAGGGCACCAGGCGCCGCACGGACCCCTTGTCCGCCACATACCCCGCCACGCCCTGCGCAATCTGGACGAGACACGTGGCGCCACTCAGCGCCCATTCAAAGCAGAAAGTTGCTCGAGCGCCGTTGCAAAAGAGAGCAGTCGAGAGACACTGAGGCCCCTCGGCAGAAGTATTTTGGATGTTGCACCGTCTTTTGCAGAGCTGGGCGGGTGTCAAGGGGGTACCCTGCAGGCTCTGGCAAACGTGCCTACTGAAACAACTCGACAATGAGGCAGGCACCTGATACTGTCTTTAAAAAGCAGGTCCCGACTCAGGCGGCACGTGACAGGCAAGCCTACTTTGAGGGATCCATTCGAAGGCGTAGAAGGTAACATCGACCAGACTGCACAGTCCCTGCGCGCACCGGAGAAGATTCTCGGGGTGTCCCTGGGCCCTCACCTTGAGCTTGGACTGGTCCCCTAGGTAGCGCGTGTCGCTGCCCTTGGCCTGCGCTTCCAAAGAGCCCATCCCCCGGTACTTCTTCAACCGCTGCCCGTCCTGGTGCGATGACGGAGTACGACAGGTGACGTCAGCTCGCGAATGGCAGGCGTTGCCTCCAAACTCTCAACATTTTTATTGGACAGAAAAAGCGCTTCCATACCAGCAGAACGCGCACCAGGGTGCTGAAAGGCTTGTGCCAAGGACAAGAGAATCCGCAGATCCGCAAGGTAACAGTTGTCAGGACTGACTGCATGCCGAGACCAAAGTACGGGCGGCTTACCTGGAAGAAATAGTCTCCGGGCGCCTCCTCAGTACCCGCTAAGAAACTACCTACCATCACGGAGGACGCACCTAGGGTGAGAGCCTGCACCGCAACACAGAGAACCCTTATTTGTGAAAAGTTCGTTACGCACATTTCTGAGTCATCTGCTTCGGAGCGAAAGGAAAGAACCCGTATCTTGATCGAACCGAGCAAACAAGAATATTGCTGGTTAACAAGCACCATTATAAGATGAATTTGCAGTTGCGCTCTTTTGACGGTGTAGCACAGGGTGTTCTCAGCGGGACATTGTCGCATCAGATGCACAGTGCCTTCTCGCATCGCCCGCTGTCAGTCATCGGCAACGCTTTCAAGCCAGAAAGGGACATGCCTTTACAACGTGAACAGCACGACTCGGCTTCCGAAAGAGAAGGGCCTACTTCGAAAACTGGCTTGGCGAGCGAATAGACGAGGGGAGAAAGATACAGGACCCTAGAGCGCTGGTTTGTGGTTGCCGTCAGGATTTCAGTTCCCCTCTTTTTCGAAGAATGGAGTCCTTACCATACATTCGCGGTCCTCAATGACCCCCGAGAATGAAACAGCCGGAGGAAGGCAGCGGGAGGTCCCGCGTGCGCACTCACCTTGACTATGTGGCCCGAGTTGGAGATGCCGCCGTCCGCGATGATGGGCACGTCGAAAGTGGACGCCAGCTTGGCCGTCTGGTACACCGCCGTCGCCTGCAACCACCCATGGCCCAGCTCACCGATTGCCTCCACCCAAGCGCGACGTAAACAGGGCGACACAGAACAGCACACGACGTCTTCTCAACGAAGAGGGCGGCAGCACGGCGGCGGATATCGACTGCCTGCTGATCAGCCCCGTCCGAGTATGGAGACTCCGAGAGATTGGCGATTGGCCCAGAACTTAATACGGACAAGCTGTAGTCGTCCGCACTGGGGCGGTGGTGCCTAAGGAACGTCCACTCTGCATGAATCTACGACCGTGAAGCTAGACGAGTCCGCCAAAAGGATAAGATGTGATCAGGCTGTGCGTACCTGGCCCCGCCCGACGGCGCAAACCTCCTGGGTGGTGCAGATGGAGCCCGACCCTGCGTAGGATGGGTGAACACCAGCAATTAGCGGAGGGAAGTATCCTCAGAGGCCTCACAATCTGAACCGCCTGAGGACCAACTCAGACCCGCAGGTTCCAAGGAAAGGAGGCGCAGCAATCGGGAGTCGCCGCTGGCTACGCAAAAACAAAGTAACAGAACATGTCGAGGCATGACGGAACTGGAAAATTGACGGGAAACACGTCGGTTAACGCGCGGCGACGGGCTGGCGCTCACCCATGCCCACCCGTAGCCCGTCCGCCCCCGCTTCGATCAGATGCCGCGCCTGGCGGCTCGTCACCACATTCCTGGCAGATGGCAAGCAACAATCAGCAAAAGTGAGCAAAAGAGGCGGCGACCTGAGCAATCGGCAGGTCGAGATGGCAGCCCAACAGCAAGAGCGAAGCACGACAGCAAACAGGAACCTGCAACAGGAGCCACGTGACGAAACGAAAACGAAGAGATTCGCTTACCCCGCAATGACATCTAGCTCGGGGTACGCCTTCTTCACGAAGCTGAGCATGTTAAGCGCGTACGTGGAGTCCCCCTGCGACGAGTCCAGCACCACCACGTTGACGCCCGCCTGCACCAGGTGCTCCAAACGCGCCTTGTCGCCATCGCGTGTCCCTGCAGGCAGCAAGGCAGCTCTCGGTTTTTGGTCCCGGCACGGGGCTTTGCAAGTACCTAACACCACTGAGATGTTCATGATGACGACGTGATTGTTTACCAGCTAACATACCCGCTTCCGGGAAACGCATGAGAACTCCGACATGGTGCCCAAGCACAGAGACCCTCGAAGCTCGTGACCCCTTCTAGTCGCTCTCTGTGATCGAAAGATTGCCATCTTTCGAACTCGACGAGGTTGCTTTTCGAAACTTCTCACCGAGAGAGGGCCTGCCGGGCTTCCGGCCATCTGGTGGGGGTGATGGGCGGTGTGAGGAGGCAAGACGGAATTGGATACAAAGATGACGTGAGACGGTGCACTTTTCGGAAGATGAAGTCAAAGAAACCTTGTCAGATTCGGCTACGATGCTCACCGACAGCCGCCCCCACTGCCAACTTTCCATCCTTCCCCAGCGTCGGCTCTGCAGACACCGGGTACGCCAGCGACCGCTTCACGTCCGTTCGACAAATGAGCCCCACCAACTCTGCAAGAACGGACTCGAAACTCGATCGACGTCGCCGGCCCATTAGTCCTGGGCCTTTACGAATTCTGAGTTTGTAGTATAAAATGTGTGACCGCTCGATGATACACCACAGGAATGCAATCACCGGTCTACCAGAGTAGGCCCGGCTTGTCGTTTCTTTGGCCGCCACCAGTCGAAGCTCACCTCCTTGCTCATTTACAATGGGCAACAAACTTTTCTTGCTCGACTTGAGCACCGCCTCTGCCTCTTGCCGGCTGGATGTGCTGGAGGCCGTCACCACCTCCGTGGTCATCACCTGGCAACACACAAACGCTTTTGATCATCACCAAGATATGTTACAATCATCGGCAGCGAGGAGGACCGTTTGTGACTGAAATCAGTAGAAGAGATAATCCTTGCTTGGCGGATGGTTCACACCGAGAAGGCTGCGTGCATTCGAAGGCCGCCTCCAGTACGCAGCATCCCTTGAGAAAGCAGCAGCTTTAATCTGACCAATATATTCCGCACGGGTTGGACTACTCTAGGCCTCCATAACAGGCGAGCATATGTTCCGCCCTGCGGACCTCAAGTTTATATATAGTACAAGCCTTAACTTGAGAAACTAACAGACAAAAAGGCCGTGGAAAGGTGGGCAGGCAATACATGGCCGCTGTCAACCATATCCTGACTGCTCACGAACCCCCTTTCCTACATGGCAGCACATACTCCGCTTACGCTTGCTCGCAACATCAGTATACCAAGTGTATGTAAAGCAATGGTCTGATTGCTGGAGTCATTTCACAGATGAACAGTGCCCCAGCCCAATCACTCACGGGGGGCTTTAGAAAGACCTGGGTGTGCCCCTTACCTCTGCCAGCTCCGTTGTCCTGTCTGCCACAAAGTCCGTGTCCCGGTTGGTCACCACTCCGAGCAGCCGGCTACCGAGCTGGCCGTCCTCCGTAACAAGAACACTAGAGAACCCTTTGGAGCTTTTCAGGCTGTCAATATCGGCCACTGTTGACTTTGGAGACAGCACAGCCGGGTCGGCGACATAACCCAGCCGCATCTGCTTGGCTTTTCTGATGTGGGCCGCCTGCCGGAGGACAAAAGGTCAACTCAATCCCCATCACATGGGTTAGCTGTGAGAAGCTTCAGACCTAAGAAGTGACACTCTGCGGCGCACTAAAGCGCTTGTCCACAGATGGAAGGGAACTTCCATTCTGGATTCGGAAAGGGTTCTCTTGACCATTGGTTGGAGAAACTATGAAAGGTGATGGGCTTCCAACAACCTTCATCGTCGTCGGCACCGGTCTTTAGTCCATCTGACAAGAAAGAAAACATCGGTTCAAAACAGAGCTAAGATCTGACGGGCTCTTCCACTACGGACTTAGTTTCACGCCGTCTGCACCCCACTGACTAACTAAGTCAAAACACTGACGTCATCTCCTCCCACCCGTGACCGTTTGGCGGAAGGAAAGTGACCGTAAGAGCGAGTTGGCCGCCTTGAACACGCTTACCTGCTCGGTGGAAGTATTGTTGTAATGCACAAAGCCGATTGCCCCCACCATTGCCATCGTGCCCGCCATGTTGGCTTCCGTCACCGTGTCCATCGGGCTGGACGCCACAGGCACCCTCACACTAATGTTTTTTGAAACTCGCCCCGTCAGATCAACTTCGTCCGTCGAAAAGTCGATGAAACCTGGGTGCAGAATCACGTCATCATACGTGAATGAGACCCCCTGCGAGAACAGCCTTGCTGCGGGGTACCCATCAAGTTCGTCATCATTTGGAGCGTCCCCTTGGACCCGTTCATAGACGCGCCCGTTCATTCCCATGCTTTTGTCTGAGGCCATCTAGTAATGGAACCCCTGACTGCAGAGCCACCCTCCCAAATCTCCAACTGCAACAATGGTCCAGTACTTGTCGTTGCGCCAAAGGCTGTGGTTTGAGCCGCAGCTAAGAAACAGGCACAACGAATCAGTGATTGAGCTTATATCAGCGTCGAGACTCGAACCCCTGGCTTCTACAATTGAACTTGAAAGTGCCCCTCAGCAACTTGAACAATGGAAGTACCGTAGCCTTAGGTATGGGCGCTTCAAATCAGTACTAGAGAGAGAAGAATGTGATCGATCGAAGAGGTGTGTGCAGCTGCTGACTCCTGAGCCTGAAGGCTGAAGTAGTGAGATGTTCAGTTCCAAAATCACGAACCTAGCCGCCCAGGGTGGTAATGGTACGTTAGATAAAACCATTGCCGATTTTGGCGGAACTAGAACGAGAGTTTCTGTCTGAAGAGAACATCTCGATATGCGCAAACCTGCAGGCGGGCGGCGGCCGCGCGGCCGGCCGCGCCACTGAGAGCTCAGCCAGCTCAGTCACATAAATTCATAATGCAGTGAGACTCGCGAGTCGCATATGAGCTGCAGGCCGCGCACTGATCAACAGTTCAGAGAAGCCCTTGCAGGGAAGGTTGAAGTTGCATGATCACGTCCTTATCTGCGATACAAGACGCCCTCAGAGACTTACAAAGGCCGGAGAACGGAGAGGCAAAAAAGTGGGAGTAGGCAGATAAGGGAAGATAAAGAGGCAGGCTTGCGAGGCTTTGTGAGTGCGAGCTGCAAACAGAGGTGTAGAAGTGACGGCCACGGCAAGGCCACGGCTTACCACGTACTAAGTTTCTTGTGACTTGAACGTTTCTTGACTAGAAAAGCAGGGCTTTCTTAAGAATATTCTAGCATGAAGAGGGCTGGAAGCGACACAAGGGCAATGCGTGAAAGGTCAGCACTGGTGCAGCAAACTGTAATCTCTTCCAGGAGGCTTGCTGTTCATCTGTTTGTAACGGAATGCAGAAGTACATTCCTGTCATGTTGAGCAGATTGTTTTTGCAACATACGATGGCGGTGGTGCATGGACTTACATTCCTTCCTGCCCTCCCCTCTATATTTCCAGCGCCTTCTTTTGTGTGCCTTGCAGAAAGAAGGTCATTTGGGACGAAGACAATCTTGAGAATATTGAGGCCCACAAGCCGACCAGGCAGAAGATTACGGAGCCAAAGACCCCGTACCATGCTGCGGCTGCCTCAGATGGTATGGGCCACACCAAACATCTTTTCCTGTACATATGTATGCACTGGCCCGCAGGCGGCTTTTGAATGCTATCCAGTTTGCCGACTTGCCCCCTGTGCTCTGAGCGATAGTGGCAAAGTATGCAGAACGTCAGGGCCCTTGGCCTCTGGGCACCTTGAGCAACTTCGGGTCTGGCGTTGAGCTCTCCAATCAGTCATTTTCATGAACTCAACGTCCTTCAAGAATCTTTTCCCTGGTTGGAATTAGGGGGAGAGGGCTCAACTCGAAGTTTGCTGTTGGATTGCAATTCTGTAGCTTTTGTATTGCCCCCTCACAGGGACGGTGTCACCTCATGATGATGACAACGAGACAATGGAGATGGCTGCTCAGGCTGAGGCCATCCGGAGTGCCCTGACTGAGGTGGCCTCTACGTCGGGGGGAGGCAACCATGGCGGCCCTCGCAAGTCAGGGGGCGGTTGGACATCGTCTGAGGACGAGGGGGCTTCAGCTTCAGAAGTTGAGGGCATGGACGAGGATGAGGCAGCATATGCAGAAGGTAAGGACGGGGGGGCGCCAGTGAACAAGATGAGCTGTAGCGATTCTTGGAGGCATGTTGGCTGTTGATGCTGCCAGCATAATGACCGGATTTGCCCTAGTGTGGTACTCGATGTGTGCGAAAAAGCAATTAACTCGCGGTGGAGACGTCTTGCCTGCCAGAGTGTTCAATGTCGGGATCTGAGCACGTTGCTCTATCTTCTGCAGCCAATGGTCTGCACCCCGAAACTTCTGAGGACCACGAGGACTTTGTGCGGCATAGAAAGGCCCATTACGACGAATACCGGAGGTTGAAGGCTCTTCGTGCGCAAGGAAAGAAAGTAGTAGAGGACACCGATGAAGAAGAGGATTCCGCAAACAAAGGACCTCCCTTAGAAAACGGAACGGGGCCAGCTTCTCATAGTTCTCATCTACAATCTTAACACTTGATGGGTAGTGTAAGTTCACTTTGAAACAGATCACTTCACTTGATATCAGCCCCGCAGTAACCTCCTGCATCTTACAGCTTCATCCCAAAAATGGAATGAGGTCCTCAATTCGATAGTGCCAGCGCAGTTGCGTAAAATTCCTTAGGAAGGAAGGATGTGGCCATTGGGGAGTTCTTGCCTCATGGTGCCAACAAGTCGTGAGGTTGGAGGGATAGCAAAATCAGGAGCCTTGACTTGAGATGGATACCGTAGGCAACGAATCGTGTCCGAGTGTACAGAAGTGCTGTTAGCCTAAAGTATGGCCGGTACTTGGCTTTTTGACCCGACCAGTATGGCGCAAGCAAGTGAATATCAAGATTCACAAATACCCTCGTGCCTCCGCACTCAAGCCTTCATGCAACTGGGACATGAGGATGATGTCAGTGTAAAGGTCGGTTGCATGCTGGTGCATTACTTACGTACCGGCCATGCACTACTGAAACTCGAAAGGATCGCATGGCGCGGGCCACACAAGTGCATGCAAGCTCATGCAATTGCCCGGCGGCCACTGGACATGATTGCCAGACCTAGCTTGTAATATACACGTATACACGTATCCATACGTACATGGTTGACCTCTTGTTACACATACATTACGTACGTGTCTCCAGCCGCATATGCATATACCTATAGTCGATTGCGGGCCAGCCCTAATTTTTAGATATCAATGCATTGCGCCAGGCGAACAATAACGATTGATCGGTGTACCCAGTTGGGACTTAGTTGTGTGGAATCCACTGTCAGACGCGTATTGAACACGAACATGCATATTTGCATGTCACGACCTATTGCACGGCCTTGATTACCGAGCCTACAGCTTCTAAGCTTGACTGCATGTGTCGCACTATCTATCATGCGTTCGGTCATGCACTAATTTCTCCATGCGGTGTCATACCGAGCTCCAGAAACTTGCAATTAGAATGTACAGATAGATTAGAATCTTTTAGCTCCATGCAAATGTTGTACCGCTTCAGTTTCCAGATTTTACTGAAACCGAGGGTCAAAGGAGAGCAGATCAATTCGTCACTTCCATGTAATCCTAGGGGAATTCGACACATGCAAAATGTAAACGATGTGTGTAGACTATGAGCATCTTGTGCCTGTCCAGTGCTCAATGATCATTGTTTGAAACTTCTGAGATTGGGGGGACAAGCGACGGCTGCTCAGTTCGTCCTCTGCTTATCCGATAGCCCTCTACAGCTTGCTGTCTAAGACGCTCCTGCGAGCTCGCTAAAGCACCTAGGCTTTCCGGCCAGTGCCGCTTCCCAGCAGCACTCTTGTCCTTCGCCATGCGACTAACCTGTGTATTCCACAAGCATGCATTGAGTAAGTTCACCGGAAGCTTTGGCGGGAAATACTGAATGTCACACTTTGCCGCTTGAGTTTCGGGACGATCGCAGGCAAGAGGACCAGAAAGATTTGGCTTGTCTTCCTACTTCACTCTTGGCTCCCTGTATCGCATCATTCGAGTGACTTTCGAACATTGAAACCAAACGAACTTACCTTTCCTACGTGCTTCGAGGACAGCTTTGGGGGCGCTTGTACCACGTCTCCGAACCGAACCTTGTCTTGCTTGTACAAGTTTCTGTAGGCCTCGTCTTCTTCATTGCTTCTTTTCTTCCGCTTCTTCCCCTTCTTTTCTTTCAAAAACCTGGAATCAAGAGTCTCGTCAAAGTCGCCTACACCAGTGGTGCTTGACAGCGGCAAGAGATCGTTTCCATTCTCTCGCAGAATTCCGGTTCTTAAGAAACGTACAGCTTGTGCCCGGTGGCTCTGCAACATTTCATGACAATGTTAAAGAGCTTTCCAACTTCGATTCGAGAAAACAGAAGGTGTTGGAACCATAAATGCACAGAACTCAGGTCTCCCTTTCCTTCCTCGTTTTCGTCACTTGATGCGTACATGAACCCAGCAGACTGAATTCACGGCAAGTTTGGCTGCGGGCTCAAACAACCCATCAGACCGCAGAATGCGGCACGGAACAAGCTTCGAAGTGGCAGCGAAGACGGGGCTCAACAAACTCTTCAAGGTCAAATGGGATTGTCGAGAGATTTCCAACATTCTGCCAAGTCAAGCAGAAAGTTGGCAAGACAAGCTGCCACAGTGTTTGTAAAGACTGCTTGACTTTAGAGGCTGTCTTGTAATTCGCATGGGCATACTCTTTTCAGATCCGGGTGGAAGCACGTGTATTGATCGTCCTCATAAATTATTCTGTCCAGAGGACATTCACAAGTTATTCTATCCAGATTGCAAGATCCCGATTGCCAACTAAGATAGTCTTTCGTGTGGCGCCTGAGTTCGATCATGATATTTTAAGTGCAAAAGGGTAGCCGTATATGAGAACTCACTTCCGTCGTTTTGCCAAGCCCGTAAGAACTTCTTCCTCTTCCGGTTTGCCGTTTGACGTGTTGATGACCGTCAGCGGCTGTTCTCTGCTTCTTTTACTCCCAGCTGGCGGGCCCTTCTTTGCATCAGCCTTTTTCACTAACAAATTTTTCGCCTTCGCCTGCGCACGAACAGATATTGATCAAAATTTGCAAAACTTCCTCTTAAGCTCCAGTAGTGCCCTGAAAAGTACTGGTCTTTCCCCGAGAAGCGGGCCCAGGTTGCAGGAAGACCTGACTTTCTGAATGATCTGGGGCATTTCACCACCAGCATGCGCCATCACAAGCCCCACCAATCATAGGCCACACTCTGGCTTGAGTCCAAAGCCTTGAGATTGACACTGCTGCATTCTCTAGAGTCTCACCTCAGACGGACGCACAAGTCCTGGTAGGCCACCATCAGGACCTCGCTTCACGTGCTTCACTGATCCCTCCACAGAACCTAAGTAGCAATTGACACTTTTAAAAGCTATGGCACCACCAGGACGACTTTATGATTGATGCATATTTTGTCCCCAAAGCAAGGGTTTCTTGAAACACACAGGGCAGAGCTTTTGCTGAATCAGAACTGTTAGTGGGCCCTGTGAAAACTTTGGAGTAGAAAGCTGCTTCTAGAAAGTGCAGGCGCACGGTACAAAAGAAACCTCTTTGCTCATCCTGAAGAAGACAGGCATCGCATTCAATAAAACGCAGATGGTATTTATATTATTCAACGTGTTAGACGAGGTTGCCGATGTAGCAATCCAATCTGCAATTGGCAAAGTGCCTACATAAGCTCGCACGTACCCTTCATCGAATCCCTCAAAGCCATCATCCTTCGAAGCCCGGCTGGCAGGGCCTGGCCTTCTTTAAGTGCTTTGGGAGGTGGTGGTAGCCTTTGGTCATTCTTAGCCTCCTTCAGATTCGACTCACGACGCCGACGGCTTTTCCCTTTCGAAACCATTGCGGCAGAGCTCCTCGCATGAAAGGCCTGTCGGCTTTTGTTATTTAGACAGCGAAGAAATGCTTCCGGTAGTTGAAATAGACTTGCTAACTGTGACTCTGTGAGCAGCACAGAGTAGGTCGCCCTCGCCCTTCGATGTCATTGCAAGTGGGATGATGATCACCACCAAGATTCTGAACGCATTATGATTTAGCTGCAGACTGCAGTCCCAAGTTCTCCCAACTAAGGTACGGTACTGTACCTAATAATTAGGCGGACTGGCAGAATTGGTGTGAAAAGCCACCAACTTCGCGCGACTTTGCAACACAGGGCCCAGGATCATGCGGTCACACTTCCCGGGAACCTACCCGGTTCAGCTACCTAAATCAGATGAGTCGATCGACGTCCGGCATTTAAATAAACTTAAAGGCTGCCAGTGTCTGTTCTCACCGATCGGAGATCTGTGCAGCGTGCAGAAAGGTACCGTAGTCCAACGTGATGATTCCGAATAAATAAATAATTATTTGCGTTCGGAAAGTCAGAAATTCGGATTTCCTATTCGGAAAGTGAAATTTCGGAAAGGTAAAATAACCTTGAAATGGTCCTCGGGAGCCGTAAAACTGCCAAAAACAGCCAAAAACTCCCCTTCGAACTGAGACCATAGGGCATTCGGATTCTTGTCGGAATCAGCATATATAATTCCACTTTCCTGGTCGGATTGTTGAGAAATAATTCGAAACAAAATCGTTCGGAATCATCACGTTGGACTACGGTAGCAAGGAGACGAAAATGCCAACTCTTTAGACCAAGTACAGTGCAGGCCAAGGCGCCACTTCAACGGCAGGACGCTGGAAGCTTGAGTCAGAGCTCCTGCCTGACCCAGCAAGCAAGTGAAGCTGTTTCTTTGTGCATTGGGGCCCGTCTTAGAGGAATGCTTGCCTTCCGCTCGCTGAATTTGTCTCCACATCCGGATCCGATGTTGGAGCGCTGAAAACAGCAACATTCGAAATTGCTCAGTTTTCCAGCCAGACACAATGATGGATCCTGCGCCTCCAGCAAATGCAAACGTTGTGGCAGCGCAACAGTACACAGCCGGCCTGAACAGGCAATTTCAACACTTTCTTGATCGATCAGTCCCTCATCATTACTACCGATGGATAGGCTCTCTCGTTGTGGCGCTTGTGTACGGTGTTCGGATGTACTATATTCAAGGCTACTACATCGTCACATATGGCCTGGGAATTTACCTCCTAAATCTCCTGATAGGGTTTCTGTCTCCACGCAATGATCCTGAGAGCGAGGGGCCAACGCTGCCATCCAAGGACACAGATGAATATAAACCCTTTATCCGGCGGCTACCAGAGTTCAAGTTCTGGTGAGATGCTGGGTCTTTTTGCGCTAAAACAAGCTATGTTTTGTGGACTGTGCACTTCCTAGTGAAATGCTGAAAGGTTAGGGTTTGGCACCAGCACTATTGCAGTGCACTCATGGTTGCTCACAAACCGTCAGCACAGCTCCTTTCCAGCTGCTGATGCTCTGGCATTAAGCTCCATTCGCATCATGGCCCAGCGGTTTCTTTAAGTCGGATCTCCATCTGGTTGCATGTAGCTGATAAACACATGATCTTTCAGGTTTTGCTTTGTTGACCATTTGTTGAAGAGGGCAGGTATGATGGGTGCATGGATATCAACAGAGGTCAGATGGATTCAATGCAAAGCAGTTCTGCGGCTTTCTTCTCGATTGGAATCTGATGCCAATGAAGGTCAAAGCTGCCAATGAAGGTCGAGCGGCAGTTTGGTGCGTTGTCCACAGTGAAAAGTACCGGGGCCCACCGCTTCATGCTCACCACATCCTATCAAACGGCAGCGAACTTGGAAACCGGAATTCCTCTGACAGGCCCGTAACATGATGGAGTCATTGCTGCGGGCTTGTTGGAGTAGTATATCAATCTGGTTTTGTAAGATGATTCAGATTGCTGCTGAATTGGGGATATACTTCTTGTCAGTGCCTGACAGGAACCAGCTCGTTTACTGATCTTGATTGACAATGTCGTAACGTATGTCTGAAGGGGCTGGTTAGGTGGCACCTCTTTGTGTAACTTTTGAGAGACAGAAGCCTTTGCTCATTGGCTTTTTGCTTATTTGAGATTGATCGTTTTCGCGTTTCTGAAAGATTTGCTTGTGAATGGGAAGGGATGCGCGGCTCCATCTGCTAAGCGCTCTGCATGTGCATTTGAGAACGCAGCAAACTACTCCGTGCAGTTCATACTTGTTGTGGGTGACCCGTGACCAATTTCTGGGGGAGCAGCTTTTGCCCCTGTGAAGGTTCTAAAGACAAATCTGGATCCCCGTTGTTTTCCGCAGGTACGCTGCAACGAAAGCCTTCGTCATCGCCTTCTTCATGACCTTCTTCCCCATCTTTGATGTCCCAGTTTTCTGGCCAATCCTTCTCATGTACTGGCTTGTCCTTTTTGTCCTCACGATGAAGAGACAAATACGGCACATGATCAAGTACAAGTATGTGCCCTTCTCATTTGGAAAGCAGGTGAGGTGGACTTTGTTGGTTTGCAGTCCCTGCGGTTGCCTTCTGTTGTTCCTGATGGGGTTCTAGATGTTGCCAACTGGTTCCATCTGGGCAGACTTGTAGACGAAGATAAGGATCTATGTCAGCCTGTCTGATCTAGTACCCAGGTTCTGAAAGTTAAGAATAAGCTGCTATTACTTCGAAGCATTTGAAGGAGCTTTGCTTAACAATTACAGCTCTTGTACTAGCGCTTTGTGTGTTTGCTCGATGAGCACTTCGAAATATCCTCCTGAAGCAACTTTGCTTGGATGTCGTGCAGAAATACGGCAAAGGGAAAAGCGTTGTTAGCGCAACGAGTGGTCCATCTAGAGCCGACTAGTCTGGTAAGCAGCGTCAGTTGTTTCTGAAAATTCTTCGGAGCTCACTATTGATGATGCCAAGCATTGAGGCATTCAAAATGACGTTTTGCAACTGGTCAATGTGAGCTTTGGGAGAGGAGCAATGTGTAAAGGCGTGCAACATCCCCTTGATTTCGACCTTCCATCATATCGAACTTTGACGAAGACTGCGGTGGGTGTTGCCGTCCCCCTATTGCCGCATGCTATTGACAGCGCTGTGTTGCATGGATACCTTGTCACCTATCGTATCTGCATCGTAGGCGCCCAGCCCAGGAACATCAAGCATAGCAACGTGCCTCATCTGACATTCGTACGTGGACTGCTCAAGCGCATGCACTATTGGCCAGCATGGTCAACTTGTCTCTGCACATACACAACAACATGACAGATTTCCGTCATAGAGCTAGGTTCTTATTGGACGTGCCTCAAAGATATTCAGGCTTACAGCCAGCCCGAGACATCACTAGCGCTACGTGGGTCATATGATGGATGTAGGTATGTGTATCCTTTGTTAAACGTTTGTCTACTATATGAGGTAGGCTTATGTTCTCTTCCAAAACCGTAGCCACATATGGGCCATGCATGCATAGGCTTCCATTTGGCATACACGGGAATTGTGGTTGAAGGTTTGAACGCCTAGCTACCTCAGAGCCTACCCTCATGCAGGGCCTACTAGAGCTCAAGGGGCTATGTTATAGTCCAAATCTAGCACCTCAGTGGCATCGTAGCCGGTGTCCGTGGTCTGATGATCATATAAAGACATGAAGCTATGAAGTACGGGGCAGGGGTTTTTTTAACGGTCGGCATGGTGCACAGTGTAACATGATACACCGCAATTGCTTCTGCGCCTCTCTGCGGTCTACATCCCTACCAAGATTGTTGCCCGCTAATTAGCGCGAATCCTAGTTCCAACAATGATTGCCCGCGGAGGCGACAAGTAGCTAGCGGAGTCACGGTTGCTTTGACTAGCATGCGCCACTGGCAAGTTTAGTTGTAATCCGGTAAGCTGTTGTTAGACTAGGTTTGGTGACTAATTCAGGGTGCGCACTTTGATTTGGTAAGGTAGCTAGACGTTCAAAACCCAAACAATTCCCATGTATGCAATGGAAGCATATGGCCCATGTGGCTTGTTTGAAAAGAGAACATCATAAAGACATGCTGCATTGGACTAGCTACACACCATGAACAAAAGCCTTCAATTCAATATGATGTTCTCTTTTCAAACGCCGTAGCCACATGATCGTTATCTAACTTTCCTTGGTTGAATATCACTTTTATAATATCGAACATCATTGACTTGTTTCTGTCGAGGCCAGTAACTTCGCCAACCCCATGCATCATGACGGCATTTTTTTCTGCATGTACTTGGAACACTTGGTTGCAGATTTGAGCGTCTCTCTAAGGGCCTGCAGCTATCGTGCCAGGGTTTGCCATGGTGAGATACACTGCGCCGCGCCAAACAGAAAAGTTTGCACTAAAAAATAGTCGACGAAAGCCTCAAAACATCGTGCAACACGACGCAAGTAAATCAAACAGCTCAATGGCTGCCCATTGGATGAACATTATGAACAATCACATAGCTTAATGGCGCCCAATGAGTAATCAGATCACGGACAGTCCAAGGTCGAATTCTCGAACAACAGTACCCGATGGACACAATAAAGCTAGAAGGACTCGTGAGGCACAACTTTTCAGTCAAAACGCACGATCTACGAACCCCTCTCAGCCAGATGGGCTGCAGACTTCTTCCTATGGACTCGATCCAAACCATTCAGCTGACTTTTCACTGCCAGCTCTAGTACCAGTCTATCCTCCCCATGGAGTTTGTGTCAACCAATCGGTCAGTTGAAATTCTGATTTCCAAATCTACGCAACGAACAAGGTGACAGAACCCTCATCCTGGCTCGATGCGGTTTCTCCTTGCCAAGCCATTGCAGAACGAGCTTGCTTTTGATCAATGTGCACAGAAGCAGGAGAATTTGATTGCTCGAGCTGTTCCTATGGAAACATATGCGCACAATCCTGTCCGCCCCATGGAAGCCCATGCACAGGAGCCCCATCCAATCCATCTCAGTAACCCCTAGAATGCCCGCCCTTTTTCCTGCCTGCCTGCCGTCCTTACTTTGCGCTGATGTCCTTAATCGCGTTAATCTGCTCCTCCCCCATGGCAGACAAGACCGTTACCACCAGCTCCTTCCCGGCAGCAAAGTCGGCCTTGAGTTTCTGGGCCAACTCATCATCATGAGTGGGTAGCTTCAAATCATCGCGCATGTCCCCGGAATCTGTCAGCAGCCCGGTATAGCCGTCATCCGTAATGTCCATGAGCTGGTAGTCAGTGCGCTTCACGTGGGGAACCTCCGAGTTGTGAGATGACGGCACAATATCTTCAAGCTTCCTTCCGTTGAAGATATCCTTCAAGAGGAGTACAGCAACGTCAATAAATGATCAGCATCTAGAAAGAAAAAAGCATCAGCATCCAGGGAACAATGTCAGCAGCGGGGAGCAGCAAATTGAGCAGATCTAGCAAGTCAAGTCTCTGCGAAGTACAGACACAACCACTCAAAAGCTGCAGCCCTCCATCGGGCATTCAGTGGCACAAACATCCTCAGTCATAAAAATCCAAGTGCCTTCGTCTGAGACCTGGCAAACCCTGTACCTGCTTTAGGCAAGAAACCAACTGTTTGACAGAAGCATTCTGTGTTGCCCCTCCTAAAGCAAATTGAGCCAATGGAATGCTGTTTCTAAAATGATCTAAAGTGCAACTCACAATTCCAACGAAGTTACACTTTGCGTGGCCGTGCTTCCCAGTCTTGGAAGTGGAAACTTCCGCAACCTGCGGTAGACAAAAGACTGTTAGCTGGTATCTTTGATTTGGAGAGGAATGGAACTGCATGATCACATGCGAGCAACATCCATTACCACAAGAGGTGGCGCACTATACAATTCTATTCAACCTGACATTTACTACTTGCCGCGTGAAACCTACACAAAACTCAAGGTGGGGGAAGACTACAAGACTTGCACAGTCTGCCCTCACCTTGCAGGGTCTGCCCTTGATCACGATGAAAGCTCCCTTCCTGATGGTGCCAGCTTGCTGCGGGAACGTCAACGACGCCCCCGCATCTCCAGCTCCATCGAACGTATGCTCATCATCTGCAAAATACACAAGCAGCTTCTGAAAAGATCAGACAATGTATTGAAGAGGACTACATGGAAAGCGTCTACGTATATATCTAACCAAATCCACGATGCAAAAGCGAAGAGATTGAGGAGCATCGAGAAGCTTTCTGTACCTCATCCTTAGATCCTCACCCGACATGTTTGCTGCTTCTTGTCCAAACGGCGCCCTTCTGTCAAGGTTGCGAAGCAGGACGGCGCCCTTGCTCACAACCTTCGAGGCAGCTCGGAGGAGAAGAGGCCGAAACCGATCATTGCCAATCTGGTCTTCCTCCTGAGACACTTCTGGGCGGCCGCTTCAAGTTCAGGCGGCCCGTCGAGGCGTCAACGATAACGGTGCGCGGAACTGTATCGCACATGCTCAAGTTCAGGCCCAAAAGGTACCGGGTACGCTTGAGGTCAGTTGCATGCATGTTGTCTTTTCTAAACCGGCGGTTAACGTCGTCTCTTGGTCGCCGTTGGCCCCTACTACCTAGTGTTGCTCAAGGCGTTCTAGCTCCACTGGCACTGTCTACCACTGTACCAGTCTACAGATGATGCCAATGGTGCTTTTCAGATTCTTTCTGGAGGAAGGTTTTCTTCGGTTGCACAGAAAACGTGCAGGCACGAAGACGCATTGCTTTCAAGAAAATTGGACTATTCAGTGCCTCAGCACGGCTCATTTCAGCTCTTCAGCAGACATTGCAGACAGTGCGTAAGTGACAGCGATTCGAACTACTGTTCCATGTCATTCCTAGTTGCGGTTGAAACATAGAGCAGTTCGTGGTGGCCAATCTGGTTGTGAAGCCTTGTGTTGGCAGTGTCCAGCTTGCAATTGCCCTAGCAATCCGCTTGAGTGCAGGTACTCAAAGAGCCAAGCTGATTGGTCTTCATCAAAGTTGGTTGGGGCTTGCAGCCATCGCCAGTGCTATGTTGAAGGGTTCATCAGCTGAATCTGAGCAGCTTTAACAGTACTCATGGGGTGTTCAGCTGCAAATCTGCAATTTTCATAAGCAGAGAAAGAAAGTGAATGTTTCTTCTGAAGATAGTGGAGCTGAAGAGGAAGCCCCCGTACCAGTGCGCAGAGCAGCTGAAACGCCTTCGAAAACATTGATAGGTGAGGAAGGGAGTCATCTCAGCACCGTTTCGCAGCGTGGATGGGAAGCAACCTGCTTGCTTGCTCAGCAGCTCAGCCTGAATGCTGCTGGACAGTCTGGGCATAATCCCTAGAAGATGACTTTTATGCTAATGTTCAAGGAGACTGATGATACTGTCTGTCAACAGCCCTTGCATGATGAGTTTCCTTTTCGCAATCCTGTTGAAATTCGTATCTTCGACGTTCATGTCAGAGTTTATTTGTGGCCATGTAAACCTCTATGGGCGCTTCACTAACCAGCCCGTCTGAGCTTTGCAAAATTGTTTACTATTACAATGCCGCCCTGCCTCCATATCTCATGACACAAAGGTATGTACCTACCAGCGCTTACATGTTGACCTTTGTACAAATGCAGTGGTGCATTATGCGGAGGCCTTCAAGATTCACTCATGGGAGCCGGCAATCCAGATCGGTCCAGCTCTGCCGAGTCACCACGCTGGTCGTTGGCTTGCTCGTTTGCGGCATCTATGCCCGGTTTTTGTGGCCTTCTTCCACTGAAAGGTAAGGTAGTCCAATCCTGAACATGAGCTGACCTTTAAGATAGAGTCAACCATGGTCTGAGGAGGTTTTGTGTTGGATACATAGGCGAAGACTTTCCGTACATGAGGCATCAGAAAGGTGCCGTGAACAAACTCGGCGTGGTTCACTGCCCCCGCAATCTGGGCAAGTTCTGCACTTTTCAGAGCCAAGTGGTAGTCTAAGCCTTTGTCTTGCTGTTCAGGGAGGATGCTGACCACGACATCCGGACAGAAATGACTGAGAGCAACGTCTCAGCCGAGAAGATCCAGAGTAGGTCTACATTGCCCTATCTGACTCCCCTGTTCTGGAGAGAGTCGGTCTGCGGTCAAGCTGCTGTCCACCTTCACTCTTAATGCGCCCACGGTCTTCTCAAGTCTGAGCTGATTGGATCACCCGCTTGAGGCTTGCACAGTCCTGGCAAAGCGCACTAATGCAGGTTTTAAGTGGGGTGAGGTGCTCGGCAGGACAGATGCAATGATGTGTGGTTCTTGACAGCGTGTCATTGCAAAGGTGATGGCTTGGTTGACAACCTGCAGAAAAAGTTTTTCTTTCCCCCTTCCCAGCGCCCCAGCAGAAGCTGTGGTTGACGATTGGGATTCCCACGGTGCCGCGGCGTAATGACATTGACTACCTAATGACGTGAGTCAATCAAATCTACGTCTCTTCCAGCCTCCATTTGTTGCCTGTTTCATTCGCGGTCCCGGCGCACCCTTTCGCAGCGATCTAGTCCTGCAAGATTGGTTCGGGGGCCTTCAGGTATTGTTCGTCTTCTGTGCAGCACGGTGGAAGCCTTGCTGCAGGAGCTTCCTTCAACATTGGACGCCCCGCTGTATGCCAAGGTGACCCCGCACAGCGCTCCCATCCTGAGTGGCCTTGTCTTGCTATGCCGGGGTGCTGGCCACGGCCGCAATTGAGGAATTTTTGGACACTGCACGAAATCTTTTCACTACGTTGCGTCCGAACTTGGTCGGGGTGGCTGTTCTCTGCTTAGTGGCCAGTCCGAGACTGTTCTTATTCTGAGAATCCGCAGTGATGGTCGTCAGACAAATGATCAGGCCAGATTTTCCGCAGTACCCGTGGATCACGGAATCCTTTCACAACTGATTTTAGCTCGCTCCTTTTTGCAGGTTCGAGTGATTGTTATGAACAACAAGAAGGGCAAGCACGTTGTGTTCGAAAGAGCCAAGACGCGGTACCAGAACGCGGGCACTGATGTGCTCCTTTCCCGTGCCATTGCGGCATCCCACATTGAGTTCGTCGACAACCCGGGAGACTTCGTAGATCCGTGAGCAGCTGGCCAGCCTTATCAGGTTTTCTCTTTGGGAGCACTTGCGGCAGATTCTAGTGCAAGGAGGAGGACCGCTCTCTACTCGCAGTTTGACGTTCCCCCCGACCAGTCGTTCCGGGTCGTCAATGAGGAATGCACAGGATCAAGTTTTGTTCATGAACTCCTGGAGCGAGACTCCATCGCGATGTAGAAAGTCGAAGTCGGCCGCGCTCAAGCCTATGCTCTAAACTCGCCAGTGCACCTCCGAACTAAATCATTGTCGAACTTCAGTCACAGCTTGTGCCGTTTTGAAGCTCGAATTCCATTGCTCCATTCCCCACTGTTTAAACGGGTAAAACTTGAAGGTGTGGATGTGCATCTCGTTTCGAACTCACGACGCTCCGGTTTTGCAGCTTCAAGGGAAAGATCGAAGAGCCAGACGACCTCAACAACCCGTCCTCCCGGCCTGGCAGGTGAAACAACCAGATAATCTTTCTGACACATTTTTTTTCCCTTTTTGGGGATGTTCAGATGCTCGCAAAAAGTCCCTGCGAAGTTGCACAGGTGTGCATCCATATTCAGGACTGAGACGGAGTTGCAGACATGCTTGCAACCCACCAGGACCAAATGCGATTTCAGTCTTCGACCCCCGTGAATTTTGAGTCGACTGGTTGCTCGGCATTGCTTTCCAATCGAAGCTTCTGACACCTGGAGTTTCGTTGAAGTTGCGAACCCGGACCTGTCTTCATTGCGCAGTGCGGTGCGGCAGCAGACATGCGACCTGATCACGCTTATGGAGGAGGCGCTTCGGAGACCCTCCGACTATTACATGTTTATGGAGGTGAGGGACGACGGGCTCTATGATGGAACGTTTAGAAAACTAAACGGGATGGATGGGAGGTATGTTTTCGGAGACCCTCCGACTATTACATGTTTATGGAGGTGAGGGACGACGGGCTCTATTATAGAACGTTTAGAAAACTAAACGGGATGGATGGGAGGTAT